CCACCCCACAGCCCCAGACGGCAGCAGACGGCCCATGAGCCGATGTGGGAACAGCCTCCGGGGGCACCTTCCAGCCCCCCGGCTCCCACCAGTGACCCAGACTGATAAATGATTCAGACACACAAACATACGCTCGCCCCCCGGGCTGGGGGCAAGAGCAGCCTTGCCAAGAGGCTGCTGGGTCAGACGCAGGGAACTAGGGGGGAGCCAAGGCACCCCAGTTGGTGGGCAGCCAGCAAGGGTGGGGAGGCAAGGCCCCCCCCCCTGCACCCACTCCTATGCCTCAAGCATTTTTCTTGCCTGGGCAGAGTCACACACCCTGTGCAGCACTTGCTGAAGACCCCTGCCCATGGCAGAGTGGCAATCTTTTCTTTGAAATCTAAAAGGCAAAGAGACAGAGACTGGCTAGGGCTTTCATCCATCCATTGGTTCACTCCCTCAAAGACCCACAATGGCTGAGGCTGAGCCAGTCTGAAAACCAGAAGCTGGGGACTCAAACCTGGGATTCCCAGGGCCAGCGCAATGGCTCAATTGGCTAATCCTCCACCTACAAACACCAGCATCCTATATAAGCGCTGGTTTATGTTCTGGCTGTTCCACCTCCTATCCAGCTCCCTGTTTGTGGCCTAGAAAAGCAGTCAAGAGTGGCCCCAAAGCCTTGGGACCCTGCATCCACGTGGGAGACCCGGAAGAAGCACCTGGCTCCCTGGTTCAGCTCTAGTCATTGCAACCCTTTGGGAAGTGAGCCAGTGAATGAACAATCTTTCTGCAGACTTGCCTTTCTAATACAATTAAATATATATCTATATATATATATATATATATTTTTTTTTAAATCTGGACTCCCATGAACCCAGATACTCGAGCCATCCCCCACTGCCTCCCAACGTGCTGCCTTAGCAAGACATCAGGAACCAATGTCAGCACTTGAACTCAGATCCTCCCACATGGAATGTGGGCATTTTGGGCATTGTCCTAGCTGCGGTGCCAAACTCAGGCCCCTACGGTTTCAAGCTTAAAGGCCTGTCTCCAGAGGTGTTAAGTGACACTTTCTGGGGTTCACACTGTCCATGTGATGCCCCCTCCCAGCCTGAGAGCTGCCCGCACTCAGTCAACTCCCATCCTCCCCCTCACACAACGCCTAAGCCTGGTGTTCTCTTGGGCTGATCCTGACTCTGTGAAACAGCGAGGTGCAGCCAATGCCGTCTCCCCAGGGAGGAGTCGTACACCTGTGTCCACACAGACCCCACCCCACCCCTCCTGACCCGCCAATACCACCATCACTGCCACCACCCGCTAGAAGGGTGCCCAGCTATGCGCAGAGGAGCACAAACAGCGGGAGCTCCTGCATCCGTTTCCAGTGGGGCTGTCGGCTCAGCGGTGGGGTCTGCCAGGGGAAGCACAGGCAGCGATGGCTGCCCTCCTTGGCTTGTCCCTTGTACAAGGGCCAGGCCTCTCCTAGAGGCCCTTTCCCGTCAGTCCCCCTCTCTCCCTCCCAAAGATGTCCCTTCTCATTTGAACTTGAACTGCTCTACCTGGAGTCTACGTAAATGGGGTTGGAGCCACCCTGGGGTGCTCCTCATGGGCTCCCGAGGCCACGTGTGGCTTCGGAGCCTTCACAGTAACCAGTCAGTTTGGAGGCACACTCTCTGTATAAAAACACACAGACTATCTCATATCAGGGGCGCATTGATAGTGGATTGAAATGCTGTTTTACTGGCTGGAATTCCTCTATGACATGTGTGTGTGTACATGTGTGTACATGTGTGTTTCTATGCGGCTGCGGGAGATCTGAAAAGCAGAAGAGAGTAAGATTCTGCTTTTGATGTCCACAGCTGGAACAGATGGATGGGGTGCGGGAGGGGGAGGGGAGGCACACGCAGGGGCCCCTTTCTCAGCCTGGCCACTGAGGCCCCCCCGCCAAAAAAAACCCTACACCTCCCAGACCTCAGTACAGCCCCCATGAGGAATTCCTGTTCCCCTATTCGTGCACCCTGGAACCCATTCATTACCCTCGCTCACACTCAAGTGTAAGTGACTGACAGCCAACACCTGCCAGGCACAACAAGGGAGTTGCCCATCTGGCTGACCCGGTTCCTGGTGACCTCATTCCTCCCACCAGCCCAGGGAGACCCAGGGAGGCCCCGGGCCATAGTACCTCCTGTACTCGGTGGGTCATGGGAGCAGATGTGGGCCAGAAAGAAAGCAGACTCACTCCTCACTCTGTCACTTCCCATCCCATCTCTCACCAGGACCCTAGTGAGTAGCCATCCCTGTGCTGACTGCCCTGGCATTACTAACCTCCACAACTAGGTCTGGGACGAGGCTGGGCATGGACGAGCGCCTCCAAATGCCAGAGGAGGCGGCAGTTGGGGGAGCACAGCCCCAAGAAGCTCTCTCTGATGGCAGCTGTGGGACCCCATTACCTAGGAGGCCAGGCACCTGCTGATGCCCCACCCCCAGGGGCCACCCTCTGGCACTTGCTCAGCCATGTGGGGACACAGCCTCAAGGCGTAGCACACCAGCAGGTGCCTGAGTAAACCAACAAAGGAACAACCCAAATCCTGATCCTGACAGGTCTGTATTGCCCCCTTGAGAAACTGCCCACTGCATCTGATTCGGAATCGAGGCTCCCTCTGACAGAGAGATGTCCAAAGTCTCATTAGCCACCAAGGGTCCAAGCCTCTAAGGAAAGAGAGTGTGGGATCCCCGGATGATGGGGTGCTGGCCCTGGAGAGGGGAGAGGCCTGGTCGGGCAGCCTCCAGCCTTTTCTTGCGGCTGCCACCCGCCCTCCTCGCCCCAGGCCACCTCTCCTGGATCTCCCACAGTTAAACCCTCTCCCGCTGGCTTCAGCCTCTCTCCTGATCCTGGAATTAATAAAGACGGAGCAGACTGCGGTTTCTGAGTCTGAGAGCCAGTTCCTACCCACGTCACTGCCCCAGGAGGAGTGGGGCCCAGCTGTACTGTCCCCCTCCCCCAGTACCTTCTTCCTTTCTCACTTTCTGGCGGTGAGGGGTGGGGAGGGACACAGACGCTCCCCTTTCCTCCCCTCCCCGAGCAGGTACATCAAGACTTAGACCCTGCCCCTGAACAGCCCTTAGCACGAAGGTCTTGCCTTAGTGGGAGACCTTTAGCCCCAGCCCTCCATACATTCCATCATCCAGCCCCTCTCCAAAGCACCACCCACTCCAAATGAACACAAAGTGGCTGAGCAAGCACAACTTCTAGAAACTTCTCTCAGCCTCTACCCAATCTTCCAAAAATCTGCCCAAATGTAAGGAGAGAGAGAGTGTCGGGGTTCCAAGGTGGACCCCAAGAAGAGAGCGAGACTGCTAGCCACTCTGCAGACAGGAGCGGCGCTGGCTACAGCAGGGTCAGCACAAAGAGACGCCAACACCTGCCGACTGTGGCTGATGAGGCAGACACAGCCTCCTGGGTGGGAGCATCCTCTGCAATGCCCAGGAAGCTGGGGCCCTGCTAGGACCCTTCTAGGAAACACTAGAGTTAACATTTAGCTCTGCATCCACTGGAGTCCAGTGCCTGCCCCCTGACCTCACCACCCCTGGCCAGACAGGCAACCCAGGGGGCTTTGTGCAAGGAAAGACCCAGGGGGTTTCCATACTCTCCACTTTATGGATTTTTACTGGCCGTGCCCTAGGGCTATTTGCTTCTCCTGTGCTCTTCCCCATTTGCAGGGGTAGGGATGAATGTGATTCACCTGTCTCTACTTTCATTCCCGCACCCCCCCCCACCCCCCCCCCCAAAAAAAAAAAACTCTAGGAAGACCCGACCTGCTCCTAGCTACAGGCTGTGGCCAGCATCCTGCTCCAGTTCTTGCTTGCATCGCCGTGTGGGCTGTCTCGGCGCAGGCCGCCCTCTTCTGGCCACCGGTGGTATGGCACCCCACGCGTTCCCCAAGCCCGGCAGAGGGAGATTCTGGGGTTCAGTATTGAGACAGGTGGTGGCCCAGGGGCAAAGAGGAAGAAGAGAAGATGGGGCCGTCCCTATGTCCCTGTGTTCCTAGGGTGCTTGGGCTACAGACAGAGCAACCTGCACAGTCCCTGATTTGGGCAGACACGCTCCGTGCACAATGCAGCCCAGTGTGTTGGGGTCCCCACGCGGCCTTCGTTTGCGAACTGCACCCCTGGTCTGCATTGACAATGACTCAAAACCTGGCCAAGCCCTTCTCCCCAGCTTCAGGCAGAAGGCTCTGCTCTTGTCACGTGCAGAATGGAAAAGCCCCAGAGTAGATCAACAGTCTCCCATCCCCACAGGCTCCTGACCACCCTCAAGGGGCCCCCAACCCCATCCCACCTTCCAGAACATTTTGCCTCCAGCCCCTTGACCTCTGCAGACATTGGCACCAAACCCCAGACCTTGCCCAGCGTCTCTCCCGCCCTGTCTGCTTCTGGCCAGACCTGGTCCAGGGGCCGGGGAGTCGGGGGGGGGGGGGGGGATTGGTGATGGAGGGATTGTTGGGGAGTCAAGAGGATTGGGGTGGGGGCTGAGGCCCGGGACAGCTGGCCCGTGTCCCCATGCTGGGCCTGGGGCCCAGCCGGAGGGGCGGGGGCCTGGCCACTCGGGCCTTGGCTGGGGCTGGATTTTTTGGCCGAGGCTGCCGGCCCTCCCTCCTGCTTCCTGTCCCGAAGGCTGTCCTGGCAGAGGCCCCCTCGCACTTTCTAGCGGGAATGGGGCCAGCAGCAAGAACAGGCATAGAGGGAGAGAGATGCGGAAAGTGTGTGTGTGTGTGTGTGTGTGTGTGTGTGTGTGTACACGGGGTGGGGGGGGAGGGAAAAAGCCCAAATCCCAGGCAGACCCAGCCCGGGAGGCTCGCAAGCCGGGCCTTTCATAATTGCCCCCTCCCCGTGGCCCCCTCCCCCCCAGCCTCCCCCTCCTGCCGCCCTCCCGCCCTCCTTCCCTCCCTCCCTCCCTCCCTCCCTCCTTCCCTCACAGCCGACCAGGCAGCAATTACGCTTTGGGGATAAAACGAGGCGTGGAGAGCAGACCGGGGCATTTCTCCCCGAGATGGCGGGTCTGCCGGCTGCAGCGGCCCCAAGGCCCACGCTCCTGTTCTTCCTACTCTCGCTTCTCCACCCCTCGCAGCCTGGAGGTAAGGTTCCCCCGCGGGGAGGAACGCACCATCCATCCTTGTCCGGGGTTCATCAGAGCCCCTGCACAACCCACCCTTCCCGCTCTGGCTAGGACCTATCGTCACCCTTCGTGGCAACCCCGGGCACCCCACTGCCCCTGGGTCCCTGGGAACTGCCTTCCTATGGGAGCGAGCTGTGCTGACGAAGAACCTGTCAGAGACACAACTACTCAGGCTGGCGCCAGCCCATGCCACACACAGAGACCCTTCCCACAGAGGGACCAGGGTCTGCAGACACCAGCTGTTTGCACACCTGTGGACCACCCCCCGCCCCGACCCCGGGGGGCAAGGGAGCCGGCTGTGAGACCCTTCAGCCACCGTGAACTGTGTGCCCTTAGCTGGATCCTTGTCACCTGGGATGTCAGGCTGGGGAAGGTCAGGGTGAAGTTTATGATGGGATGGCAGGTGGGAAAGCAGCTGCCACAGCTCCTGCGTGTATGTGTGTGTGGATGAATGAGTGTGCACATGCTTGGATGTGTCACAGCTCAGGAAGGATGTGGCCGATGGGCTGGCTGCAGGTGGAGACAACTGTCACCGCGAGGCAGGTGGATGTGTGCGTGCCTCGGGGAGTGATGGTTGGGAGAATCTGCCGTCGACAGCCATGCAGGCGGGAGGGAGCTAGTTCCAGGGCTGTCCATTCCACCTGCATGGGAGAGAGAAGAGCCGCAGGGCGGGGCAGCTGCCTCCGAAGGGGTCCTGAGTGCTGCCAATGGTGGGGGCTGCCATGGAACCTCTGGGCATGGTTGAACCCATCTGGATGGACTGTGTCCTGGTACCACTGCTTATGAACTTTCAGGGCATCCCACCAGCACCATGGGACTGCCATTAGGTAAACCTGGCAGGGAGGCACTGACTCTAGAGCCATCCCTCAGATGGCCTGGGTAGAGCCTGGTCCCCCTGCCGGGAGTCCTCCCTGCTACAACACCAGCCCTCCAGTCAGGGGGCTCAGGGAGGGCTGCAGGACCCCCGCCAGAGGGCTGGCCGAAGGCAACAGCTGTTTTTAGTGACACCAACCAGCTGGTCCAGCTGCAAGGAGCTGGGGGAGCTTCCTGTGCGGGCTCCAACTCCTGGACCTGGGTGGGACCAAAGGACATGGGCACAAACAGCCACTCCCTCACCCCAGGCGAAGAGGACCCCCAGGCACCTGCCCAGCCTCTTCCCCAACTGGTACTTCCAGCTGTGAAGGGTCGCAGGAGTCCCACGGCTCAGCAGGATTAGCTGCACTTGGCAAGTGAGGAAACTGAGGCAGCCTGGGGTTAGGGTCTGCCAGCCATCTGCCCTGGAAGAAAGATAGAGGGCTTCAGGGGTGCCAGGATGCTGGGACAACAGGTTGGGAGGGAAAGGGCGGGCCTGGGGCTGAGTCGGCTGGGTCCCTCGGGGACATGGGCAGTGTTCATACACCCAGTGTCACCTGCCCCATATGGCTGGAGAAATTGGGTTCCGAGGACAGGGGCTACTGACTCGACAGAGTCCCCTGGGGTCTCTGCATTAGAAGCCCCTGTCCCAGGAGGCCTGGGTGTTGCAGGCACCTGCGTCACTCCCCCACCCCACCCTAGTCACCCTCCCACTCCCCCTTTCCTCCCCCTGCCAGCTGTCCTGAAACAGTCCAGCTCCTCCTCCCCACCCCTCTGCTCCGTGACGTGGGTGTCTCACGAGTGGGCAAGCTTTCAGTTCCAAGGCTGGGGGCGGGGTGGGGGAGGTTGTGAAGTGCAGTGACGCAGATAGCTGCTTCGACAGCAAGAGACATTAGAACAGGTAGCCTTCTCTCTGCTCCCCACCACACCCCAGGTCAGCACTAGAAAGCAACAATCTGGATGCCCCATGGTAGGAGCTACCTAAGGCAACACTGACCAATGCCCTCGCCCCACCTCACCGCCACGGGCCACAGCCCACCCCAGAGGAGGCCTGCCCTTCCCCCCTACACACACACACCTCACTGCCACGGGCCACAGCCCACCCCAGAGGAGACCTGCCCTTCCCCCCCCCACCTCACCACCACTGGCCACAGCCCACCCCAGAGGAGACCTGCCCTGCGGTTTAGTTTTGTTTTCTTCTTGCTTTTTTTTTTTTTAACTCCTTAGTGATTGGCAATCCAACAAGTGCTGGTTTAGGGTCTGAACCCCTCTCATCCCACCCTCAATGCATCTGGCAGGAAAGCAAACCAGCACCCCTCCCCCCGCAACTCTCCCCCTTACGGAAGGGGACAGAGCCACACAATGTCCTTCATGCCAGGATGCGCTGTTTTTGAAAACCCCCTGGCAGGCATCTCCATGCAGCCACGTCCGTCCGTCCGGCTACATGCGGTCTTATCTGCTTGGCCACACTGGTCCCTGTCCTGTGGCCGGGGGGCGGGGCGGGGGAGGGGGGAGTGGGCGATGGGTGGAGGAGGGGCGAGAGAACCTCTGCTAAGGCTGACATTACTCCCCTTCTCCTCTCTCCTTTTCCTGCTGGCTGGCAGCTGGTTCCCAAACAGGCTTCTCCCAGATCCACAGCCCCTTGGGGCCAGAGGGACCTGCATGTGGCTGGGCTGAGCCGCAGGTTCCAGAGCCAAACCCTTCATCTCCCTGGCCCTCAGTATCTCTGGCTACAAAACTAAGATCAACGCCCCTTCCCTCCACCACCACCCCCGCCCCGCCCTGCCCTCCCCTCATGCACCTCCCAGGGCCGGTGGAAGGTTCCAGCAATGTCATGCCTGCCAAAAATGCATCAGATCAGAGGACCGTGGGAATGCTTTTTTGAAAAAAAAAAATCTGTATCCTCTTATTCAGAATTTGCTAACCAGCGTTGCTGGATCCTGGGCAATGAGCAGACATTTCCAAAGTTTAATTCTCCCTGGGGTTACTCACTCCATGTTTTGTCTGTCAGGAGGGGTTGGCCCAAATAATAAAAGCCATGAAGAAAGCCAACAAGACGGGGAGAGGAGACCTTGAGGAGTCTCCCTTCCCCCTCAAGAAACTTGGGAGGGCCTCCCAGCGGGCATTTTTACTTCTCTGGGGGTTGTCATTGGCTGGCAGGTGGGACTCCCAGCACATGCAGAAGGAACAGGTGGAGCAGAACCCTGCAAGGTTGCTCCTGACCCGTGGCAAGAGTGGATCGCGAGCAGACACAGGAGGGAGGCTTGCAGAGAGCTGAGGATGGAGACTGCAAGATGCAAAGTGACCAGAGACCAGCTCCACCCCGGGCCGGTGCTGGTGCTGCTGGTGTTGGTAGAACAAGCCAAACCCACATAAAACAAGACAAGGGAGAGTTTCAGGCCAACTGCCCTGGGCCAGCTGAGCAGCACAGGCCGGGAGAGCTGGGAGTCTGCACTCAGCTGGGCTGCACTGGGCGGGCCAGCTGAGCCAAGAGGCCAGGGCATTTAAATGCAGGCAGTAGACATGGCTGGAGCCTGGGAGAAGAGAGACCTGGGATGTGGGGAGGAGGGGAATAGTCTGGCTTGCAACCGTTTCTGCCCCCATTTGCAGTACTGTCATGCTGAGGCCCTATTGGGGCTTAAGCGATGGAGAATCGTCCTTCTCTGGAAAGTGGGGGTGCAGGGTGGCCTAGCCACAGGGGGTTATGGGAGGGAAGCAAGAAGACCCCTCCACCAAGGGCAGATGAGGATGGAGCAGCTCAGATCTAGTTCCCCAGGCGAGCTCCCTACTTCTCCTCTCCCTTACCACCACCCCCCCCCCCAGCATCTACGGAGCACCTACTGTATACATGGCCCCCAGGGGCCGTGTACCCTGCAATGATGTGGGAGCAGAAACCAAATGGCAAGCCCAAGGTCACACAGGTGGCAAAGCTGGGCTCTGACATCCAAGGGGTCTCCCCACTCTGCTCTCCTAGCACCTGCCACTGTGTTTTCCCTTGACCCTGCAGCTGAAAAAGGAGGAAGGGGCTGCAGGGGGAGCCCTCAAGGGAGAGAGAGTGAGACACAGGGGTGGGGGCTCGGGGGAGAAGGAGAGAGAGAGAGAGGAGAGAGAGAGAGAACTGCAGACAGCTAGACCGGGCTCTGGCCCCAGGCTGCAGCCGCTCCAGGCAGGCCCTGTGTGAACTTGGCAGCTGATGACAGAGCCACCGCCCGGAGCCCCAAACCTCATCCAGATTGCTAGCACACGGCTGGCCTGAGACTGAGCTCCCTGGGGAAGGCCAGAGAAGGGGGTGGCGCCGAGACTTTGGCACCGGTGAGGCCATGACAGCCTGGTCATACACCAGTTCTGTGGCGAGGCCTAATCGGGCAGTGTCGTCAGGCTAGGGAGGCTGGCCATTTGGCTGCCAGGCGTCCCTGGGCGCAGGGCACAGCTGCAGCTGCTCCAACGCTCCGCTGCCAGGGCACACGCGCAACCACCACCCCCCCCAAACACACACACACACACACACACGCCTCCTCCTCCTCCTCCTCCTCCTCCTCGGCAGGCCGGAGCTGGTCGGCAGAGCCACGGGTTCTGGACAAGGGACTTGCGGCCTCAAGGTCGGGATGCAGGGCCTCCTCTGTCGCCATGACAACGACGCAAGCCGGCCTGAGTCTGGGGCCAGCATGGCAGGCATTCCTCCCCTCCCCCAGGGAAAGCTCCCTTGGTGCAGAAAGCTGAACTCATGACCTTGGCCAGGACGTCCCGTGACCTTGGCCAGTGACTTAGGAAACTATTCACTTTGCTCATTCATGGCTGCCCCCCCGACTGGGGCCGCCCCCCACTGCACAGCACCTCCCAAGACAGCTGGCGGGTAGGTGGCAAGGGAGGAGGATCAGACGGCCAGCACCCCCACCCTGCAGCGGCGAGGGCGCTGACCCACGGCTCCTAGCAAGCAGTGTGAAAAGGACTGCTCCACGGGTCCCAGCTGCGTTTCCTTACCACGCATGCTCTCGCAACCCAGCCTGCCCTCCCTGCTCTGTGGGGCCTGCTCCTGCTGTTCACAGCCTGGTGCTCACACCTAAACTGAAACAGGACCTTCCCCGCCCCCTCCCCACCCTACCAGACTCAGAGGTTCCAATCCAGGTCACGCCCCCTACGCCCTCTCTCAGCCTGAGTTAAGATTGGGAGACTAAATCCTCACCCGTCCCATCGTGCACGGGGCGGGGGGGGGGGGGGGGCGTCGCTTTGGGAAAACAGCCACTTTGGCCAACAGCCACCTGGGCCAGCACCCGCTGGGCTGGGCCTGATGGAGGATTCATTTCACTTTCCTTCCAGGGGTGCCAGGAGCTGTCCCTGGAGGGATCCCTGGTGCAGTTCCCGGAGGAGTCTTCTATCCAGGTAACACAGCTGAGGTTCCCCCAAGTCAGGACTGGGTTCCCATCACTGCAAAAAACACCGCTGAGGACCTGCCCATCCGCTCCTCCTGCCCCACCGCCTTTCTTTAAAATATTTATTTTATCTGAAAGGCAGAGTTCCAGAGAGAGCTCTTCCATCCACTGGTTCACTCTCCAAGTGGTGGCAATTGCCAGGGTTGGATCTGTCCAAAGCCAGGAGACGAAAGAAGAGAAAAAGGACAGTTGGCCCCAAGGCCCGTGGGAGGGTTGCTTGCAAAACAAATATATATGCACCTGCTCGTTTACCTTTCAAACTAGAAACCCAATGCACAGAGTGGGTGCAGTCAAGTTCCCCGTGGGATGGCAGGCACCTTGTGCTGACAGGCCATACGGTGTTTGTTAAGAAAATAGAACACTGGTGCAGAGAGAGACCCCCTGTCGGCCAGTAGGGGGAACAAAGTGTCAGAGCAATGTCAAAAGGGTGGAGGCGGGGAGGGGGAGGGGAGGAAGAGAGAGAGAGAGAGAGAGAGAGAGGGAGAAGGAGGTCTTTGGGTTTTTTTTTTTCTTTTGTACAAAAAAAATAAAGCCTAATATTTGTAAGTCAATTTTTTAAAAAATCAGAAGTCAGACTTAGTATTTGGCCATTCAGAACTGATGGGAAGGTTCTGCCACCCGCACCCATACCCCGCCCCCAGGCATGCAGACAGGGCCGGGGACCCAGGAAGACGGTTGGAACTACAGAAGCTCCTGGACGTTAGGGCTTACTCGAAGGCGCGTAGTTAAGGCAGTGATGATGGGACTGTGGGTGGAAGGACAGGGTACTTTGCTGCCAGGGTACTTACTGACGGTTATCTCTGTAACACAGGAGCTGGTGTCGGAGGCCTGGGAGGAGGAGGTGAGTTGAGATCCAACTCCACGGAGTTTGAGTGTCCCCTCCTGTTAGCCTACCCACATCCTCAGACCTGAGAAACCCCAAACCCCTCCCCACCTTGTAGGCAGGGCAGGGGGGAGGCTCACTGCACACCGAGTATCCCAATGGGATTGAGGACTAAGAAGTGCCTGTATGCACCTGCCTCCTCTTACGGTTCTCTGAGCCAGGTGGGGTGGGGGGGGGGGGAACACACGGAGCCTTGCTTCCCTCTGAGGCTGGGAAATCGGGGCTCAGCAAGTGCAACCCCCCCACCCACCCCTCCAGAACAGAGGCAGAACTGGCCGAACTCCCTGGCAGCTCTAGTGGGTGGGCCTTGGGATGTGGGACCCCATCCCCCCCCAACACTCACGGGTCTACCCAGTGGAATAGAGCCGGCAGGCTGTGACTCCCTGTTCACCACCATCTCTTTCCTCTGCAGCGCTGGGGCCTGGAGGCAAGCCACCCAAGACAGGTAAGAGCCAGACAGGGAAGAAGGTCTGACCGGGGGGGACTCCCAAGGAAGATGGGGTCTACAGAGCAGAGCTGGGAGCACAGCCAGGGACCCCAGGCAGCAGGAGCAGGGAGGAAGGTGTGGCCAGGGACAGCCACCAGGAAGCAGAAGCCCACAGAAGGAGGCGCTGGCATGGGTAGGGGAAGGGGGCGGTTCCAATGCCCTCTGTCCTATGGCACATACCCAGGTACGTGGAGACCTGCCAAACAGCCCTGGTGTAGAGACAGAAATGAGGAGTGACAGTCTCCCAGTCCTCATGCTTACAAAATGGCACGCTGGTGGGAGGGGAGTGGAGGGGTTCAGACTTCAAACTCTACCCATCCACCCCTGGACAGTCCTGACCTTGACATTCATCAAAGCCTTTTCCTTCAGCACTGCTTCCAGTGAGCCCTGACCTCCACCCAGCTCCAAGCCCAGACTAAGCACTGCCCCCTGGCCCCAGTCCCCTCCCAGCTGTGTCCAATCCAGGGTGCTTACTGGTAAGGAGGTGCAGCTGGATCAATGTGGGCCTCGCCCCATGGTGCTGGGATCTACCACCAGGGATCCCACCCCACGCCTACCCCGCGCTGTGTTGCAAGCAGAAGCATCCCGGGGAAGGCAGGGAGTGGGTCCCAGGGGAGGGCGGAGCCCTGCTAGACAAGGAGCAGGTGGGGAAAATGGCGTCTCCTGCGTGACCTGATCCACATGTGGCTTTGACGCCACCCCCCAAGCCCTGGCTCCCAGGCCCCAGGGGCTGGGACGCGTGTTCCGTGTCCAACAGCTCTTACGAAATCCTGGTGGCCGATGATCCAAGTGCAAATGAATCCACAAGACCCAGAGTCCACCCATCCCACCCCCCCTTACCCCTGCAATGAAAGCCCTTCTAGGTTGTGAAACCCTGGGGCTGAGGCCAGTGGGGGCAGGCCAGGAGCTGGGCGCATGGGCAAAGGCCAGGCTCATGGCTCATTGCTGCCCTTCCTACAGGCTTGGGATTCCTAACCCAAACTCTGATAGTAGGCCCGATGCTTTTCATAGTGAAAGATTCCAATTAGACTTCAGAAAGAACTTCCAATTCAGCAGAAGGAATAGACCAAGAATAAATGAATATCTTCCCCCAGCCTCTGCAAAGCTTCTGTGACCTTGCATAGGTCATCTTTAAGCCTCAGGCCTTAGCAGGGTGCCCCCCACCTACCCACCCACTCATATCCGGGCTGCAGGTCTGACCCCAGGGCGGGACGGAATGGGGGCACAGACAGCAAGTGTCATGCTTGGGAACAATTAATCCCTCTGCTGTGGTGATAGTGGGTGGGTGGCCTGGCAGCTGCTCTTGCACACATGGGTGCCCCAGGCCAGCCCCACCCTGCCTCAGCTCTCAGCGGGGGACTGGGCAACTGGCACTCCCCACCCCCCCAATCCCTGCACAGTGCCAGCTGGAGGCCAGCTGCCCTGCAAGAGGAGAGGAGAGGGGCACGAGCCAGGGCAAGAAGGAGCCGGCGGGGATCCACTGGGTCCTGGCAGGTAGTATGCACTAGAAGCTTTCTGCCCCCAGGCCCACAGCTTACCGCAAAGCTAGGATACAGACTGGGGTGACATCGGCCACTGCTTCCCAAGGAACATGAATGACAGCAGCAAGATGGGAACCCAGAACTTGGTACTCAGAACTGGGGTACTCAATGCCTCCTGTTCTCTCTTCCTTTGCCAGGTGCTGGTGCCCTCGGAGCATTTGGAGCAGGTGAGCTGGGGGTTGCAGGGGGGCAGGCAGAGTGGAACAGGCACAGCTACAGCCAGCAGAGGAGGGGGCTGTGCTGGGAGCAGGACCACCAGAATGGGACCCAAGGCAGAAGACCCCAGAGTGGCTGTTAAGCTTCCCTTTCTCTCCTGCCCCCTAAGGCCTGGCTCAGCCTCCTTCCTCTTCCCCTATGATCTGTGTCCTCTCTCCCCTGTCCCTCTGTGAACAGGAAAGGGCTTCACTGTGTCCCCTGCCTGCGCTGGGAATTCAGGGAAATGGGCTTGGGAGAAGCCACCGACAGAGCCAGGAAAGCCCAAACCCGGAGTTAGAGCCGCCCCCCACCCCCAACTCCACTTATAGTCAAAGCCACAGAAACAGGAGGGGACCATGCCCAGCCACCTCCTGGGAGTGCCCAGGACACTCGATGTTCAGGGCCAGGAGAGAGACAGAGAGAGAATGAATTCTGGGACTCAGGACCCTGGCATTTGCAAGAGAAAGTATCATCTAACTGGAAACCAACCTGGCGTGGTTGTGAATTTCAAATTGGTCTCTCATCCATCCAGGCCACAGCCACCATGGAATGCCTCCTGGTGGGAGTCAAAGGGGGGAAGGGGGTGGGGAGAAGACATGATTGGGCCCAGATGTGGCCAGAAGGATCCATGAATCTTATCATCATTGTAGCAGAGATGCCTGGACTTCGGGGCAGGCAGGGCAGATGGTGGTGGGGGTGGTAGGGAGTAGCGGGGCACAGACAGGGCTTCCAGACATGGACACAGGGGATGGGACCGAGTCAGGAGACACCTGCCAGGAAGCAGTGGGGGCGGGCAGGGCAGGCCCAGAGCTGGTGAAGGAGTGGTACCCCGTAGGTGCCCAGGAAACAGGTGGATCTGAGCAGCCAAGGCTTTGGGACCAGCCTGGCTGCCGTCCCACCTCGTCACACGCAGGGAGGAGGCACACGCTTGCTTCTCCTGACCTGCACTTGTCTCCTTCCGCAGTTCCCGGAGGTGTTGGCCCTGGAGCAGGTTAGTATTGACCTTGACCCTTCTACAGGATATCACTGTGGGAGCCAGTGCCCACGTCTTGTCCAGGAGGAGAACCGTCAGGGGACAAGAAGCCAGGCCACACAGGCTGTGCCCCAGAACACTGATGTGACATGACCCTCCCACCACAGTGACCAGGGCTGGAGGGAGGTGGCCTTAGGAGCTACTGTAGGGCTAGGGGTCTAGTGCCCTGAATGTAGCCCCACCCAGCCCTCAAGCCCTACCCAGAGCATCATGGGAGTGTAGAATATGCTTCCTGGGGGGTCCAGGGGCTCAAGACCCTCCCAGGGTGTGACAGCTCAGTGTCTCATCTGCTCTTTTCTTCCACAGGGCTGGGGGCCTTCCCCGCAGGTGGCTATCCAGGAGCCCTGGTGCCCGGTGGAGTAGCAGGTGCGGCTGCAGCCTATAAGGCCGCCAAGGCCGGTAAGTGGTACTCCTTGGAGCAGGCTGCTTCAGTCCCTAAAGGCTCAGAGAGGAAGAAGCCAACTACTTCATCTGGATGGTAGCCAGCCCAGGGCCATGCTTTATCCCCGCTGTGTCCTGCACCATCCCTTAGCCCTCCCACTTTTGTGGTTCTGTAGGTGCTGGGCTGGGCGGTGTCGGAGGGCTTGGTGGCGTTGGTGGTGTTGGCGGCGTTGGTGGCGTTGGTGGCGTTGGTGGCGTCGGTGGCTTAGGAGTGTCCACAGGTATGGTGGCTAGCCCTACCTGGGGGCAGGCTGCTAGCCCAGGTTGGAGCCAGCTCTGATGACATTACTTCCTTTTTAGGTGCGGTGGTACCTCAGGTCGGAGCCGGAGTTGGAGTTGGAGCTGGAGGGAAACCCGGGAAAGTGCCAGGTCAGTACAGGGGGTGGTTAGAAATTATTGGGGTGGGAGGGCAGAAAGGAAGGACCAGAGCCTCCTGTGGCCCTGGGGTGGTGGGAAAAAGGACATGCCCCAGGGGCTGCAGCAGGACAGGGCAGATAGCCAGGTCCAAAGCACAGGTGCTTGTATCTGTCAAATGAGGCCAAGAAGGGACTAGGCCTCTCCGGGTCCTTCTCCCAGCATCTTGGAGCAAACAGAGACAGGCCCGGGGGTGGGGTGGGAGTGGGGTCAGGCTATGGGGGATATAGATGGGGAAACAGAGGCAGCGTCAGAGTGGATGGCCCCCCTGCTAACCACAGCATCTTCCAGTCTCACATCTGGAGCTCATTGGCCCACCCCAAGCCCTTTAGGAAGTGATTTCAAGTCCCCACAGCGGGAGGGGACATCTGGAAGCTGTTAGCTGGAGGTGGGCTGGCCGAGGCCCATGTAAACAGGCTCCAGGAGACGGAGATAGATCCATTGCACCAGAGGGCCAGCCGATGCCTTCGGGAGCTTGGCAGAGGCCAGCCGCGGCCACCCCACATTTTTGTCCCCAATTATCCCCAGTGGGCACAGGGGCTCCTGGGGTAGAATAGGGCTGGAATGACCATGCAGGGGTCCTCAGAGGCTGAGCCACTGTTCACAGCCTCTCCTCCTCCTCTTCTTCCTCCGTGCAGGTGTGGGGCTCCCAGGTGTATATCCTGGTGGAGTACTTCCAGGCACAGGTGAGAGCGGGGACAAAAAGAGGAGCATAATTTGGGGGACCAGGGGTGGGGGTGGGGGTGGGGAAGCAGCTCTGGTCAATCTCCCTGGGGTCATGTCCCTCGGCCCTACCCAAAGCAGAGGCCACCAGAGGCTCCAGGTCATGGCCAAGCCTCAGGCTCATGGACATGAAGTCCCGGTCATCTGTCATGCTTGCCCCAGCCCCACCCAAGCCCCGACCCTGGGGGGGCTTCCCAACCCAAGACGGGTGCCCAAGGACAGAACAAGTTCTCAGTGCAGCTAGCTGTTTCCTAAATGCTATGAGTCACTGGGGTGCACTCCTCCCCACCCCACCTGACCCCTTGCAGGGTACCCTGCCGGACAGCCAGGACCTGCCCCCACCACCCAACTCATGACCTTCTGAATTCCCCCAAAAGCCCACATTCAGACCGCTGCACAGGATTTGTCGACACTCAGGCCTCATCTCCTCACTCTCTGGCCCAGCCCGAAGTGCTGGAAGGTTGGGGGCGACAGGCCAAAGGAGCCCTGCCCATCTTTGATCAGTGTTGAAGGAAGTCAGCTGTGGGACCCATGGCAGGGGTGGAGACCTTCACACCCTCATCATGGGACTCCCTTCTCTCTGCTCCCCCAGGAACTCGCTTCCCTGGAGTTGGGGTGCTCCCTGGAGTTCCCACGGGCACTGGAGTCAAGCCCAAGGCCCCAGGTATGCAGATGCAGCTGGCTGTGCTGGGACAGTCCACTAACAAAGAGGAGTAGGCTGCCGGGATTTGCTGGGCTGGGGGTCCTTCAGTGACAGCGGTGTACCCGTTGCACCCTGGGCTTGGCTCCCCTGGCCAGAGGTCCCAGAGCCCGTGTCAGGGCAGTGGAAGCCAGGCAACCCCGGAGCACAGGCCCTCCATGTGCCACCTGCCACCAGCCTCCGTAGGCCACGTCCTGAGCCCCAAAATTCAGCTCTTTTTTTTTTCCTTTGCAGGTGCAGGAGGAGCTTTTGCTGGAATCCCAGGTGAGTCAGGCAACCCCCCAGGTGGGGGTGGGAGGAGGAAGAACAGACAGGAACCCTTATCTGGGGCTGAGCCCTCTGGGTTCCATCCAGCTCTCAGCTCCCCTCAAGCCCACTGCTCCAGGGCTGGACTTGGCTTCCAAACCGAGTAGCACCCAACTTCAGACCTATGCTCCCTGTCCAATCAGCACTTCCACCCCCAAAATGTGAAGCAGCCCACATGACCCAGAAAACCTATCGGTCACTCCCACCTCCCCCACCTCCTAGGGCAGAGAAAGCCCTGCAGCTTCCTGGCGGAAGTGGCCCATGTCCTGGGGTTTGCTCAGCTGGAGAGGTCCACCAGTCTGGATGTTTAGGGGAGCCCATTTGGTCAGAGCAGAAGCTGTATGCAGGAAGAGGTGGAGGGCTTAGAAGAGGGGGTACGCTGCAGGTTGCAGGAGGGGGCTCTAAGCTTGCTTTCTTGGTTTCTTCAGGGGTTGGACCCTTTGGGGGCCAGCAGCCTGGAGTCCCACTGGGGTACCCCATCAAAGCCCCCAAGCTGCCAGGTAAGTCAGAAGGAGGCTTCAAGAGGCACTGAGGGGCCAGTCTGGGGCAGAGGGGTGCTGAGAAGGGCACAGGTGTCTGAGGGGGTATGAGGAAGCCTGCATATTGAAGTGACTTCTTGTCACCTACGTAAGAGAGCAGGGGAGGTCTGTCCTGCAGATGGGCGGCTCACAAGCACACACACACACATGCTTCTGGGCACACATCCACACATGCAAGCACACAGCACATCCATGCGAGCACATGCATGCACACATCTATGGACACACATGTACACGGCCACAAAGATCCATAACTCTGCTAGGCAGGCATTCGTGTAGCTAATAAGAAACACACTCCACTGGAAAGACCCCCGTGACATCTACCACCACTGCCATCTCCACTTCTGCTTCCTCAATCAGCTCAGCCTGGTGCTGCCTAACTGGGGAGGACCAGAGAAAGCTACTCAGCGCCGGGGCCATGGGGTGGCTTGAAGGTGTAGGGGGCGGCTGTGTTCTCCTGTGAGGTGCTTGTAGCCTTGGGTGCGGGGGGGCGTCTCTGACTCAATCCCTGTGGGGGAAACCCCACAAGGCCTGGGGTGGCCATGGAGCAGCCCTTGAGGTCCTCTGCCCTTTCTGCATTTAGGTGGCTATGGACTACCCTACAGCACTGGAAAACTTCCCTATGGTAAGTGAGTACAGCCCTTCTGGGGGAGAGGAGGCTTCCAGACTTTCCATTTTCACTCTGTCTGGGGGTATAGCATGGTGGGCAGGGAGGGAGGGCAGCAGCAGTCAAGTCTAGATGATGACCCTCCTGGGCACCTCTGTTTTGCAGGTTATGGCCCCGGAGGAGTGGCAGGTGCAGGGGGCAAGGCTGGCTACCCGACAGGCACAGGTAAGAAAACCTCACCTTCTCTGGCTCTAGAGGTGCCCAAGGTGATCTGGTCCCTCCAGAAAGCAGGTCAACCCCTACTCCATCCCTACCCAACCACATGCAGACCCTGGTCTGAGCCTAAAGCTGGTGCCAGGTGGGCATGTCTCTGTCAGCCTCTGCTCCGCCCACCCCCCCAGCTCACTCATGCCTGAGTGGTTTGCCTGGAACTGGGACAGGTGGGCTCTGGGGTGGCAGGGAGCACTGTTTGCTGAGTCTCTCCCCTGTCTCCTCTCTCTTCCCCCACCCCCAGGAGTTGGTTCCCAGGCTGCAGCCGCAGCTGCAGCCAAAGCAGCTAAGTACGGTGAGTATTCTGAATGCCTCGCTCCCAGCCTTCCCATCCTCACTGCCCGGAGACAACCAACCCTTGTTTATCCAGCTCTGTCAACGTCCTCGCTCCAAACATCCACCACCCATCCACCTTCCCATGTATCCATCCTCTCCTTTCTACCCCTTTCTCTACCCTTCCTCAGTTACCCAGCTAGCCAGCCTTCCCTTCCATCCATCCATCCCTCCACACCTGTATCAGCCCCTCTCTCTTCTGTCTTCCCCATCCACCCATCCATCCTTCCTCTCTCTGTCCCCCTCCTCACCCCTCCCTCCCTTCATCCATCTTCCTTCCCTCTCTCTAGCCCCTTCCCAACTCACACCCTGAAGGTCAAGGGTGCTTGAGAGCTCTCTGGAGAAGGGAGTCACCTCCATGGGCTGTCCCTGGGACAGCAACATTAGACCCAAGGCTGCAAATACAGACAGGGCTTACTACTGGAACAGAAGGGTGGAACCCTTGGAGGCACACATTCCACAGCGGTTAGAAAGATAATTTTAGGTGGCACATATACAAGCACTTAAAAAAAAAAAAAACCAACTTAATAGTGATGTATCAATTTAATGTGTCCCATAAAAAGTTGAAGTTGTGCCTGGAGCCCACAATTCCTTGGAGAGTATGTCAGTGGGTGCAGAGGGTGGAGTGGACACCCTCGGCGACCCCACCCAGCTGTGGGGGAAGGGTCGGCTAGCAGCAAGGGAGCCCATCCTGAAGCTGGTGCTAGTCTCTGCCCCTCCTCCCAGCCCCAGGCTTCCAGGCCCTGGGGCTCCACAGGAATGCAGGAGCAAGAGAACAGGCAGCTAGGGGCTGCCAGCGCCAGGCGGCCAGGCACTTGGATTACAAACTTGGCAGAGTCCTCGGAACATGGAGAGGATGGCTCAAACATTCCTTCAGGGGCCTCTCTGGCCCGGGGAGCAGCCAGCTTGCGGTTTCTCAGTATGTGGCAGCGATTAGAACCGGGATTTGTCTGAAAACATCCAAGTCTCTCTTAATGAGCGTGTTGAAACGGACACTCCGGGGAGGCCAGTCCAGGAAGAATAGGGGTTGGGGAGAAGGAGGGCGGGTAGTGTGTGCGTGCCTTTCCCAAGCACACCCCAGTTGCTGACACCTGGAACTCCTTTTCCGGACGAGGTTGGCTTGGTGCTGGCTAGAACGCCAACAGCCCAGTAGTCCTCCTGACTGGCCCTCAGAGGACGCCACATTGAGTGTCCGCATCACCGCAGGTGCTGCAGGAGCCGGAGTCATCCCGGGTGTCGGAGGCGTTCCCGGTGTCGGAGTGGGCGGAGTTCCTGGCGTCGGAGTGGGCGGAGTCCCTGGTGCAATTCCTGGGATTGGTGGTATCGCAGGTAGTTTGGGTGGGTGCCAGGCGGGGCTGGGATGTCCCTGAGAAGCCACAGGGCAAGGACCTCACCCACTGGCCTTGTCTTTCTAGGGGTTGGGACTCCTGCTGCTGCGGCTGCTGCGAAGGCAGCCGCGAAGGCAGCCAAGTATGGTGAGTGTGAGACCGGGGATTAGGGCCAACCTACCCTTTGTGTGGCCCTGGAAAGAGCCCAGACCTACTGGGCTGGCATGACTTTGTCCTTGTCCACCTCCGGAGCCTCCCCACCTCATCCCATCCTGCCCATCCCCAACCCCTCCGTGCCTTGGAGTCACTTGATAGGGCCTGGCAGGTGTGGGCCAAAACTGTGTTTTTTTCTTCTATAGGAGCTGCTGGAGGCTTAGTACCTGGTGGACCAGGAGGTCGGGTCCCAGGTGCTGGGATCCCAGGGGTTGGAATTCCAGGGGCTGGGATCCCAGGCATTGCAGGTGTACCAGGTGTGCCAGGTGTACCAGGCGTGCCAGGTGAGCTGGGCAATATGTATATGTGTGTGTGTGAAAGGGGGGGGGACAACTGGATGGTCAGGTAGGCGGATGAGCAAACAAATTGATGGATGAGGAAGTGGGTTGGTGTGTCAGTACATAGCAAATGGATAGATAGAAGGATGGATGGGCAGATGGGTGGGTAAGTGGGCAGCTACCCGGGTTCATTGATGGGCAGAGTTAGATGATTGGGTGGGTGGATTGAGGGCTAGGGATGACGGACAGACGTGGAAGTGAGTCAGGGTGGATGGAGACAAGACAAGTGGGCAACTCTGTGTGGGCTCCATAAAGAGAAAGGTGATAGAGTGGCAGACAGGTGGGTCGGCGGAGGGAGACAGAGCCTCTGTCCTCGATTCCTCCCTGAATATTTGCACCACACCCTCCCCCCTTGTGTCTCTGCAGGGGCCGTGTCACAACCTGCAGCTGCTAAAGCAGCCGCTAAGGCAGCCAAATATGGTAAGTGCCAGCTAGAAGTCCTGCCCTGCCCTGCCCTGCCCTTTCCTTGCCAACCCCAGAGGACAAGGGCAGAGTTGGGACTTGCACCTGCTGGACCCAAGGACAGTGACAGACAGTTTCAGGACGGCATCCCTAGGGAGGACAGTAACCCTGACCCTCCTTGTCCTGTCCAGAGCCTTCTCAGGTGTGAGCCCTCCTTACAGCCACCATGGAGTGCTTTCCCATGTGCTCAGAGAAGACAGCAAGGATTCCTGGAGGAGGCTGCTCAGGGTCCCGGCATCCCCTGCCTTCCTGCCAAAGACCATCCCCCCTTACCCAAGTGCCCTCCCAGTCTCCTTCACTCAGGTCCTTCCCACGGGACCCTCTTTCCTCCCAGGAGCCGGTGTCGGAGTGGGAGGCATCCCCACCTATGGGGTGGGTGCCGGGGGCTTTCCTGGCTATGGCGTTGGAGTGGGTGGAGTTCCTGGAGTCCCTGGAGTCCCTGGAGTCCCTGGAGTCCCTGGAGTCCCTGGAGCTGTTTCCCGTGAGCCTGGGGAACCCTTGGCAGAGGGAGGGATGGCCTCTTCTATCCCTGCCCCCCACTGCGAGGCGGCGGGCGGGCTGGGGGGTGGGGGCGGATGGCATCCAACAGGGACTACAGGGGGTAGAAAGAATGATAGGCCCTTCCCAGCAGGGTCTCTGAGGGTCCTTATCTTCCTTGCTCCTTAACAGCAGCCGCCCAAGCCGCAGCTGCAGCCAAAGCTGCTAAGTATGGTGAGTGCCTCACCCCTGCCCATCCCCTAAACCTTGCTCCCCTAGGACCCCCAGCCCCTAGCGACTCCCTACTGCAGGTTCCCAGGGCTCCAAGAGCCTGGGTAAGATCACTAGGCCCTGGTCCTCCCATCTCCTACTTCCCAAAACCACACTTGGCTCTCCTGCCCATTCAGTTGCCCCTGGGTAAGGTCATTGGCACTTTGCTTATTGCCCCAGCCCTGCTCTTCCTGCCCCCACCCTTAACATCATCCCCTCCCAAGACGTGGGGACCAGGAGGGGCATCACTGGACACAGTTCCCTCCTCCCCCCCCCTCTGCTGCCCCAGGTGCTGCAGGAGCCGGAGCCCTGGGAGGGCTGGTGCCAGGTGCTGGAGGCGTAGTACCAGGGTTGCCAGGCACTGGAGGGCTGCCAGGTGAGTCCTGATCCCAATGGGATGTGGCTGTGGTCAGCGGCAAATGAGAGGCATGGGGAAGGCTGGGGTCTTGGGGCGGGGGAGGGGCACCTGCTGCCTGCCGTGGGAGAAGCCCTCCCTAGCTTGAGTGGCTGGGAGCCTGAATCCAAGGTCCCCACCCTGTGGTTGGAGGGGCTCCTGTTCCCCAAGGGAAAGGAGGGAAGTAGGGAACCCTCACCTTTTGATGGCACTGTACCTGTTGGAGGCCAGACGGCCAGCGAGATGAAGGGACCAGGACAGTCAGGCATGACCTTGCACGTCTTTAAACTTTCCCATCAGAAGTTTTTTTCTTCGGCATTTCTTTTTCCTGGAAAGAAAAAAAAAAATTCCCCCCTTTAAGTCATTTCCTGAACTAGGATAGCACTTTAGCCATTTTCATTGGCTTGTTATTTGAAAGGCAAAGAGAGAAAGGGTGGGAGAGAGAAGATCTTTTCTTTTGTTTGTTCACTTCCTGCCCCTCAAATGCCTACAACAGTCAGGGCTGGACCAGCCCAAACCAGGACCCCCAAAAAGCAGCCTGGGTCTTGAGCCATCACCTGCTGCCTTTCCAGGGCACACCTTAGCAAGAAACTAGGAAAGAAAGCAGAGGTGGGACTTGAACCTGGGCCCTCCTGTGTGGGATGCATCCCAACCAGCATCTTCAGCTGCTACACCAAACCCTGCCCGTGGTTCACTGATCTCTCAGACTGGGTTTAAGACATGTGCCTTCTGCCCTCCTCCAACCACAGCTTCTGGCTCCTTTCTGCCACAGCCCAGGGCTGGAAATTCACAGGATTAGTCAGAGGCACATCCTACCTGTGCAAGGAAGGCAAGGGGGGTGGTGGCCAGGAGCCAGGTGGTATCCCTCTGAGCTGGGCCTGGAACCCGGGGCACCTGTGCCAAATTGGGATGCCACACACTTCTTTCTTTGCCTCCCATGTGCAGGATGAGCATATAGAGAGACTTCTGGGAGGGGCTGGTTGCCTAAAAATGGGTTCTGGAAGGGCTTTCCATGATGAGGAAGAGCAAGGAGAGCGGGGGCCCTGGGGCTGCTTCCCCATCCCCTGTCCTCCCACTTCCAGGAGCTGGGACCCCAGCAGCAGCTGCTGCAGCTGCCAAAGCCGCCGCCAAGGCTGCCCAGTATGGTAAGTGGCTCCATGCCCCCACCACTAGCTGCACCTGCTGCCTGCAGCCCCAGCTCTGGGGTCTGCCACATTCTGGGCCATGGCTTTCCTGATTGGTCCAGGTCACCTTGAGGGGTGTGATGGGAGTTGCAAAATGAAGAGATGCCTTGAGGAGCCCGCACTCCACTTCCCAATGCCCCGTCCCCCTACTCCATCCAATGAGGCAGCCCTCCTCCAGACCTGCTGCTGGGCTCCCAAACCAGCAACTACAACACTTCCTGTACCCTCAGAAAGTTATCTAGGCTCAGCTTCATCCAGGAAACTGGGTGGGAGGTGGATGCCCCAAGACCAAGTTCTCAGGCAACCTGTCCCGTAACTGTAGCTCAGACCTTGGGCTACGAGCTTTGGCCTTGGGGACCTGGCAGCAAGACAGTGCCAAGTGCAATCTCACCAGCCGCCACCCTCCCCAAACTCCAGTGCCCAACTATCTTAGGAAGCTGGGGCTATTGTTCCCATTGTACAGATGTGCAAACTGAGGTCCCCACAGCTTATCTTGGCTACCCACAGCCACATGGCTCAGGGATGGTGGAGCGGGAATTTGAACCCATGCCCAGCTGCCTGGCAAAACGTCCTCTCCTACCTGCCTCTGCCTCCTCTCCCCTGGAGTGGCCACGGGATCCTGGTCCCTCCAGATGTTAAGAGCTTCTGAACTCGTCCCTGCCTCAGATTAGGCTGGAGGAAGTGAAGCCTGATTCAAGGTCACTTAGCCAGTCTGGACCAACCCAACCCTCCTGACTCCCAGCCCTGTGCTCTACACAGATGTCAGCTTCTCCTCTCCCTGGCTGGGCCTTACTGATGGACCTGGCTCTTCTTGCTGTGGCAGGGGTCGGCGGTGTTCCTGGCGGTGTTCCTGGCGGTGTTCCTGGTGGTGTTCCTGGTGGCATTGTTCCTGGCGGTGTTCCTGGTGGTGTTCCTGGTGGCATTGCTATCAGCCCCGGTGTTGGCGTTGGCGTGGGAGGAATTCCTGGTGAGCCACAGGGGTGAGAAGGCTTGGGGGGGGGGGGTCCCCTGAGAAATCCCTTGTGGATGCCATGGGTCACCCGCTCTCCCTGTCCTCCCCCACGAGCAGGAACCCCGGCTGTGGCTAAATCAGCTGCCAAAGCGGCTGCCAAGGCTCAGTACCGTGAGTGTCCTGTCTCCTTCACCCTCCAGCCTCCCTCCTCCCCAGCCTGCAAGGGGCCCCATGGATTTACAGCTTCTTAGCCCTGCCCTGCAACTGACCTGCATCCCCCTCTCCTCCCAGCAAGGCAGCACGTAGAGGAGCTAGAAGTACATTTATGGGGCAGCCAGCCCAGGTTTGGATCCTGGATCCTGCCTTAGCCAAGTGGGCCCATACTCGGATGTCACACGCAGGTGGCATACTTGCACAAGCTGAGGAAGGGCAAGAGATGTGCCTGGGTAGCGTCCACAGTGGGTGGCCCCCAGTGCCTGCCTGGGGAGGAACTGGACAGGGTGGGTTAGTAGGGATCCAGTGGAGAAAAGGGAGTAATCAAGCCTGGAGGGGTGAGGGGGACACAAAGCCAAGGGCAGGCAGGGACCCTTTCCCTTGGGGTCTGAGTCCTCTCTGCAGAACAAGAGTGGTGGTCCCCTCTGTTGCCTGCAGATGCCACTGCAACCACCTGTCTCTTTGTAGGGGCTGCTGCCGGGCTGGGTGCAGGCGTTCCCGGATTTGGTGCTGGTGCTGGCATTCCTGGATTCGGGGCAGGTGCTGGCGTTCCTGGATTCGGGGCAGGGGCAGGTGCAGGTGAGGGACAGGTGCAGAAACTGTCCCCAGAATTCAAAGCAAGGAGATGCCCTTCTGTTCCTCCTCCTGTGCCGCCCCACCTCCACCTTACCATCTTGGGGGTGCATAGTGAATCCCCTGTTATTTTTTTTCCTGAGCAGAGACAACTTGGGTTACAGAGGGGAGAGGCAGGCCAGGGGACACCTAGCTGCCAGATTTTGGGGTATCTGCCTCCTCAGTGGAAGGGTAACTGGTTCCAAACTCAGCCCAAGCCCACCTGACACACAGGGAAGAAAGGTGGGCTCCCGAGGGTTAGGGTGGGCTGGTCCAGTACCCCTGCAGTCATTCTCTGTGGCCAGGGGTCTTCTGAGACTTCTAGCTCGTTACCTTGTGGTCATCTGGCCCTGCCCAGCCACAAGGAGGCTGCACTGGGTGTCCAGGGGACATTGGGGGTTGCGAACAGTGAATAGAAGGAACTGGGAGCTCTGGTGAAGGAGTGGGGAACACTGTCTCTGGCACCTCCAGGGTCGGGGAGTCACTGCTTCTTCAGGGCTTGGAGAAATCGGGAGGGCTTCTTGGAGGAGGCAGCAGAGCTCCCCCCCCCTCCATCCTGCTCCCAAGGGCATGGAGCTCAACTGCTGCTGTCTCCCCTCCCTCCCTCCTTTTGCTTTTTTCCCAGTACCTGGATCTCTGGCCGCAGCTAAGGCAGCGAAATACGGTAAGTGCACCTGCCCCTGACCCTGGCCACCTGAGGTCCCCTTGCCTCACCCCCTGAAGGCACCAGCAGGCTTGGTTAAGACAGGAAAGAGGTGTTGACAAGACATTGCTGGGACCACTAAATGCCTGCAGCACCTCCAACCCCAGTGGCAGCCCAAAGAGTGCCCCCCACACCCACACACACCATCCTTACAGTCTGCAAACCCATTACCTACTCACCATGACCCTGGCAAGAGCCCGGGACTAGCCCAGTGTCCTGGCCGTGGGTGCTTCCCAGCAGCCTGGCTGTGCCCGCCCACCCGCCAGTTCCAGGACGTGGCAGACCTGCTGCTTCTCTACGTGGCACTCCAGCAGCCCAGCCTGGCCAGCCCTGTGCCCATTTACGGCCCCCACATTCCAGGGATCGGCCAAGCAGTCCGCCTGGTCCACTTGGGGCCAGTTTTTTCCACCTTGGAAAATCCCGCCCTCCCCATCCCCTCACCCCTCTGGCCGCCAGGAATCCACCGGCCCCCTCTCGGCTTCCTTGCTGGGCTGCTGGGCTGCCAGGCCTGAGTCACCAGAGGCTGCCAGGGAAGCTCCATGGTGTGGTACAACATGCCAACAGCTGAGCTGGCTTCTGCCTGCTGGACCTCACACCCTCCGCTTACCCTCTGCTGGGCCCCAACCTCCTCCGTAAAGTGACAGTTGGGACAATCCTGCCTTCTCCCCTCACCATGCACCATAAATATGCTAAACAGCAAAGCAGAGGGGGGTATTTTGGTGCAACAGTTACCAAAGATGCAGCCTGGGATTCTCCCATTCCATGTCTGAGTTCCCCGGGGTTCAAATCCCCACCCCTCTTCCCATCCAGCTTCCTGCTAATGTGCATCCTGGGCAGGGGAGGGTAGCAGGTGACGGCTCAAGTGTTTGGTCCCTAGCGTCCCCATGAGAGACCCGGATGGAGTCTGGACTGAATTAGTTGGGGACTGAATTAAAGAAACAGAAGATTTCTCTCTCTCTCTCTCTCTCTCTCTCTCTCTCTCTCTCTCTTTGGCTCACTCTGTCACTCTGCCTTTCTAATACATTTTTCGTGGACCCTTAGAACCTTGAGTGACCCCACTGAGGGTAGGCTGTCAGGTTCATGGTCATGGGGACACGCAGCAGCTGTGCGCTCAGTCAAGGCCTTGAACCTGGCAGAGGTCAGGCCTGGTGTGTCTCCTGCTGCTGCTTTGGTCACCTGCGCTGCCTTAGCCCTCTGTCCTCAGGGTAGGGGAATGCCTCCTTCCAAGTAAGAGACTGACCTTTAACCCTGGTTCTGCAGGTGGTGTTCCTGGTGGCATTCCTGGCGGTGTCCCTGGCGGCGTTCCTGGCGGTGTCCCTGGCGTTCTTGGCGTACCTGGTGGCCTTGGTGGAGCGGGTGTCCCAGGCGGTGTAGCAGGTGCATTGAAGTGCCACCCCTATGCTAGAGAAGGCTGGGCAGGGCTGAGGGGGTGGGACCAGGGTAAGGCAGGGGCAGGGAAGGAGGAGAACCCCCACAAAGCTGTTGCTTGTCCCCAATAGGTGGGCCTGCCGCAGCAGCTGCCGCAGCCAAAGCTGCAGCCAAGGCCGCCCAGTATGGTGAGTACCTCATGCTGAATGCTGGATGTGGGGGATGATGTGAGGGGGGAGGGACTGCCCAGCTCTGGAGTTGGGTGGGGGACCCTCTACCATCTCCAGGATTCCCTGCTGGCCCTTTGACACCCTCAGAAATCCAGGAAAATCCACCCAGGTCCCACCTGGGTCATGGGCTAAACACCTGTTCCCTTGCATGGCCAGTGAAGATTAACACACAGGACTCTCTCCACAGGCTTAGGGGGACCTGGCGGGCTGGGAGCTGGTGGCCTTGGAGCCGGAGGGCTTGGAGCCGGTGGAATTGCCCCAGGAGGTTTGGGAGGTGAGGCTGCCCAGAGGATTTGTGAGCCACACTGGGTACCGTGTGAGAAAGATGAGATGGAGCCATAGCGAGCACCTTCCCTTCCCTTCCCACCAGCCTCCAACCCAACACAGCTTCCTGCAGCTGCCCCCTCCAGCCTCTAGAGGGCGCTCGAGCAAGCAGCAGTCAGGGACCCAACTCCACCTGACCATCCAGCAGGTGCAAGTGGATGGGAACCCCTTGTCCAGAATAGAGGATTCACCACGCCCGGGTGCCTGACTTAAATCACCCACTAGGCTTGTTCCCATCTGCACCTGAGAGCAGACACACAGTAGGGCCTTCCTAGAGATCCCTTAGGAAGACGGGTGGGTGAAAGCGCAGGACGGCTCCGTAGGCGACTGGAGGCAGAAGACAGGGCCTGGCTGAGGGCAGGAGGGGACGTTCCTGAGTGCTGCCTGTGTCCCTCTCCATAGGTGTGTCCCCAGCTGCAGCTGCTAAGGCAGCCAAATATGGTGAGTCCGCCCACACCCCCACCCGGACTTGCAGTGACCCCCACAACCTGGAGTAGCAGACCAGGCCCTTCCACTATGCTTTGTCTTGACCCCGCTGCCCCCCATCTTCCCTCCTTCCAGGTACTGCTGGCATTGGAGGTGTCCTTGGAGCCACCAGGCCATTCCCAGGAGGTAAGGGCCGGCTCTGCCTTGCAGTCCTTGGCTTTGCTGGGGCCTATAGAGGCTCCAGTTGCAGGCCTGCAGCATCAGAGGCTCCTGGAAACCCAAAGTTGACAGGGGGAGGTGGAGGTGCGCTTCCAGAACACCAGGACCTGGGTTCGAATCCTAGCCTTGCTCCTGACTTGAGTTTCTTTGCTGGCATGAACCCTGAGTGGTAGCAGGTGGCAGCTACCAAGCCCCTACTACCTGTGTGGGAGATCTAGATGGTGTTACCGGCTCCTGGCTTCCAATCAGGTGCAGCCCCTGGCTGCTGTGCTGTGGGCATGTGGAGATCAAGGGTCAACCAGATGGGAAAACTCCCATGGTCCGTGTGGCCTTGCACTGGTCCCGCCCCACATCAGCCCCTCTCTCCTCTCCACAGGAGTTGCTGCACGGCCTGGCTTTGGATTGTCTCCCATCTTTCCAGGTACGCCTTATGCCACTGCCATCCCCATTCTTTTCCCCACCCCCACCCCCACCACCTCCTCTCCTGCTCCAAAGGGCTGAGCCAGCACCCAGGGGTGAACCCCACGAGCCAGCTGACCCAACACTTTCCCTTCCATGCCCTGCTTTCCTAAAACCCAGGGGAGGGGGACTGACAGGGAAGGGAGGGGGCTCAGGAGGACTAGAGACTGTCCCAAGGTCACACAATGAGCTGAGGGCTCTGAAGAAAAGCCCCGCTTGCCCTGCCTTCACCCAGGCTGTCCTGGAGGGCTTGCTGGGCATACCCTACCTCCTCCTCCCTTCCTTACACCCTACCCCCACCCCACTCCCGCTGATGCGTGGGCGGGCAGACTCAGAGCCATTCCCTTTACCTTGCAGCTGGCGGTGCTGGAGGCCTGGGAGTTGGTGGTAAGTGTGCATCTCAGGCCTAGACGGACCTGTTTGCGAGCAGCAGGGCCTAGAGCTTCCTCCTTGGGGAGCGGGGAGAGTCCTGTTAGATGCACAGCCAGAGGCCAGTGGGCGTGGAGCTGGTCCTGCATGGAGCCCTGGGTTGAGGGGAGCACTTAGAGCAGCAAGTTCAGCCTTTGGGACCCAGAAGCCAGGCCCCGTCCCCACCCACGACTGTCCCCCTCCCCTCTACAGGCAAGCCACCCAAGCCTTACGGAGGGGCCCTGGGGGCCCTGGGATACCAAGGTGAGTGGAGTCCCCCAGCCCCTGGGAGAAGCACGGGCCAGGAGTGGGGGACAAAGATGAAGGCAAAGGGGACACGGTCCCCCAGCCCAGGGACTGGGAGGGAGTTGAGATGTTGAGGACAGCTGGATGGTGCTCCCGCACCCCTCCCCTGCACCTAAGGCTTCCACCTCCAGCATTTAGAGAGCAGGTGCAGGCCTGGCCCTCGTCTCCTGCCATCCTGCTCCCACTGGCTGCCACCAGGTGGTGGTAATGAGCCACATCTGCCCCTGGATTCTAGCTCAGTGCATCAGCTAGCCCCCTGGCCCTCTCTCTGGGCCTCCATTTACTTACCTATGGCCTCCTCCCCTTTACGAGCCCACCCTTCTCCCGAAGACACTGCCGTTCCCTCACTAGTGGTTTGCTGGTGGAGGATTGGGGCTGCTCTGTGCCAGTCTCTAGAAGGCTTCCGGCAACCGTGTCCACTCCTGGTCCTTCCCCAACCCCGCCTTCTCCTCTCTGCACCCCATTCCCAGTCTTTTGTCCAGCAGGCAAGGGTAGGTCAGAGGTGGGCTTCTCAAGGCACCCTTGGTCACAGTAGGCAGGCAGGGCTCCTAACGGCCCACACCCCCTTCCACACCCCCTCAATGACCTGCTGCCCCTCCCACGCCCAGGTGGGGCTTGCCTGGGGAAATCTTGTGGCCGGAAGAGGAAGTGAGCCTCCCGGGACCCCTGACTTGCGACCTCATCAACGTTGGTGCTACTGCTTGGTGGAGAATGTAAACCCTTCCGTGACCCCACTCCGTCCATCCCCTCTCCCACCTTCTCCTCCTCCCCACCCCGGGAGGGGCCGGGCAGGGCCAGGGCCAGGGCGGCCTTGGGAACCCACAGGGCAAGGAAAGCAAGAGAGCTGGAAACCCCACAACCCCCGCACCAGGAGGGCCCCGATCCCCCCACTTCAGAGGCCAGCCCCTTCCCACCCAGGAGCTCCCCCTTACACACATCTTTACACAGTCTCCATCTCCAGGGGAACATGGTGCTACGTACACGCTGGTGCTTATTCATCTTTCTGGGAGGAGGGAGGAGGGAAGGGCTGCCCTGCCCCCCCCAGAGGACCCTCATCCCTTAGGGGCTCCTCTGAAGATGGTGCCGACACGTCCGGGACAGTCCCACCTCTCCCCGCCCACTGGGTCCAGTTGGTTCCCATGCACCTTAAGCCTCAGACCTGGATTCGGCCACACGGTTCCTGTCTCCCTTCCCCCAGGAGGGGGCCCCTACCCGCCCATCAGTGATGGCTGAGCCCCACTTCCAGGGTGCCTTCAGGTTAGAAAAGCCTTCTTCCCCGGGGATCAGCTCCCTTGCTCGAGCGGAACCATCCATCCATCAGTTCATCCTCATCCCCCCCAAATTGAGTGACCAGTGAGTGCCGTTAGCTGGCTGGGCACCCCCCCAAAACCTCCCTCACTCACACCCTGGCCAAGCCATCCTGGTGGCCCATGTCCTGCCTCCACCCTAACTACCTGCCCCCTACACCAGCCCAGGGTGTGTGTGCGGGCGGTGGGGGCAGCGGGAGGTTCCCCATCCCCCGAGCTGGGTCTCCCACACGCAGTACTGTATGCCCGGTCCCGCCCTCGAGCCACTGTACTCCCCAGCATGCCCAGCCCCCACCCCAACCCTCTCTTGGTGTCTCGCTGTGATAGATCAATAAATATTTTATTTTTTGTCCTGGATATTTGAGGATGATGTTTCATTGCCAGTGACACCCTCTTTGGGTTTTATGTTTTGTGTTTTCTTGCACGCACGCACACACACACACAAAAATACTGTTCTCTTTAATCTACGAGGGGAAGAGGGAGGATGTAGTGGGTGGGGGAGGGGGAAGATTGTATTCCCAAGAAAAAGCTCACTTTAATCACTCTGATGCCAGTCTGAAAGAGCAAGCTTTCATTTTTTTAAAGATTTATATTTATTGGAAGGGCAGATGATACAGAGAGAGATCTTCCATCCAGTGGTTCACTATCCCAAGTGGCTGCCATGGCTAAAGCTGAGCCAATCCGAAGCCAGGAGCCAGGGTGAGGGGCTTTCTTGGAAAAGACCTTACAGTGCTGAGGGTCAAGGATGTGGGAAGGACAGGGAGCCTGGGGGAGTGGAGTTCCCGGATATCCACAAGGGGGCGCTGTTGTGATGGTGGTGAGGGTGATGCGGTGGAAGAGTCAAGGGGCAGGTGCACAGCCCACGTGGCAGTGACTGGCTGTGAGTCCCAGGTCCCCTGCTTCCCATCCAGCTGCCAGCCAGTGTGCACCCTGGGAAGCAGCAGGTGGGACCTGGGTCCCTGGCACCCACGTGAGAGACCCAGATAGAATTCCTGACTCCTGGCTTCAGCCTGGAGCAGCCATAGTTGGTGTTGGCCACTGGGGAATGGACCAAGCGGATGTGTGTGTGATAACTACTTTTCAAATAAATTATTATTATTATTGTAATGAGAACCTTTCTGAATCACTTGTAGCTCCCCCAAGCCACCTTGCAGCAGAATCTGCTGTGTTCCCAGTCAATGTTCGGAAACCAGGGAACTCCACAGAAAGCTTCTTCTCTCACCACTCCAAGGCCAGGCACCCAAGATCACCCTGCTGGCAGGGGTGTCCCTTGTGAGGTTTTACTCCTTAGTGCTGGGTGGCCATCTTGTCCCTGTGTCCCTATCTCCGTGTGTGCCGTGCTTTGTCCTTTTCCTATCCTAAGGAGCCCAGCCATACAGGAATGGCCTCATTGTCAGGAAGTGACATCTACGCATACAGCTGCTCTGAGCTATGGAGGCGAACACATCACGTGGGAACTTTCCAGAAACATGACCCAGGCCAGAAGTGTCACTTCCACGGGGAAATGTTTTTGTTTGTTTGTTTGTTTGTTTGTTGGGGGGGGGAGTCAGATACACAGAGAGGAGAGACAGAAAGATCTTCCATCAGCTGGTTCACTTCCCAAGGAGCCACAACGGCCAGAACTAAGCAATCCAAAGGAGACAGGAGCCTCCTCCGGATCTCTCACACAAGTACAGGATCCCAAGGCTTTGGGCCATCCTCAGCTGCTTTCTCGGGTCACAAATAGGGAGCTGGATAAGAAGTGGAGCAGCCAGGATACAAACCAGCACCCATATGGGATCCCTGCACATGCAAGCTGAGGAGTTTAGCCATTAGGCTACTGTGCCAGGCACTAATTTCTTTTTAACTAAAAAAAAAAAAAAATGTTATGTATTTGAAGGCAGAGCTGCACGGAGAGATCTTCCATTCACTGGTTCACTCCTCAAATGACTCTACCAAACAGGGCTGGGCCAAGCTGAAGCCAGCAGTCAGGAGCTTCTTCAGGGTCTCTCACGCATGTGCAGGACCCAAGCACCTGCATCATTTGCTGCTGCTGATGGTCCAGGAAGGTTAGCAGAGAGCTGGATCAGAGCGAAGTAGCTGCGACATGCCTGTATGGAACGCCAGCGTCACAGCTGGCAGGTGTCACTGCTATGTCACAGCACAGGCCTCCTACAAGTCTGATTTAACCAAGGATCTTCAGATCAAAAGGTCATCTGGGGCCCGGCGCAGTGGCGCAAGTGGTTAAGGTCCTCACCTTGCATGCCCGGGAACCCATATGGGCGCCAGTTCTATCCCGGCAGCCCCGCTTCCCTTCCAGCTCCCTGCCTGTGGCCCGGGAGAGTGGTCGAGGATGGCCCAGGGCTTTGGGACCCTGCACCCATATGGGAGACCCGGAGGAGGCTCCTGGCTTCGGACCGGCATAGTACCGGCCGTTACGCTCACTTGGGGAGTGAATCATCGGACGGAAGACCTTCCTCTCTGTCTCTCCTCTCTGCATATCCGCCTTTCCAATAAAAAAATAATAAAAATCAATCTTAAAAAAAAATAAAAAAAAGGTCATCTGGATGAACCCTAAATGCCACCACAAGGACCCTTACAAGAAACCAGAAGAGGGGCCGTTGCTGTGGCATACTGGGATAACAATGCCACCTGTCAAGCCAGCATCCCAAACAGTAGCCAGTTCATGTGCCAGCTCTTCCACTTCCCATCCAGCTCCCTGCTAAAGAGCCTGGGAAGGCAGCGGAAGATGGCCCAAGTGCTTGGGTGCCCTGCACACCACATGGGAGACCCACATAGAGTTGTAGACTTCTGCCTTCAGTCTGGCCCGGCCCCAACTGCTGCAGCCATTTGAAGAGTAAACCAACAGATGGAAGATTTTTGCACTCCTTGTATCTCTGTCTCCGTAACTCAACTTTTCGAATACACAAATAAATCTTTAAAAAAAAGAGAGAAGAAAAAGAAGAAGCTAGAGGAGGTATTTGCCAACCAACTGGCAAATCTAGACCAAATCAGCAAATTCCTAGAAACACACAACCTACTGAGGCTGAATCCTAAAGAAACAGAACATCTAAACTTATCAATAATGAGTAAGGAGCTGAATCCATCATAGGAAGTCTCCCACCGAAAGGCAGGCCCAGGACCAGATGGCGTCAGTGGCGAATTCTGCCAAACATTTCAAGAATTAACCCCGCTCTTCCCACAGCTCATCTGAAAGCTGGAGAAGCAGAACTCAGCCCGTCTCCTTCTGCCAGGCCAGCAGTACCCTAAGTTCAAACCAGGCTGGGACACAGGGTAAATGCAGGCCCATCCCAAACCACAGGACAGATCGGAGCAAAAGTCCTGAACAAAGTACTATCAACGCTAATTCAGCAGCAGGTGGAAAGGACGATACCCCGAAGGAGAAGTTCTTCCCAGAATGCAATTGTGATCGACCTCATCAAGCCTGTAATTATCAGAATGAATCGAATGAAAGACCAAAACCGCATGATCATCCCAACTGGTGTAAAAAAAAAAAACAAGTTAGGCCATGAACCCATCTCGGCATCAAAACTCTCCACATGGTAGAAAGGCAATTTTTTTAAGGTTTTTTAATTTTATATCAGAAAGTCAGATATACAGAGAGGCGGAGAGACAGAGAGGAAGATCTTCCGTCCCTTGATTCCACAAGAGCCAGTGCTGAGCCGATCCGAAGCCAGGAACCCAGAGCCTCTTCCAAGTCTCCCACGTGGGGTCAGGGTGCCAAGGCTTTGGGCCGTCTTCAACTGCTTTCCCAGGCCACAAGCAGGGACCTGGATGGGAAACGGGGTGGCCTGGATTAAACCAGCACCCATATGGAATCCTGGCGCATGCAAGATGAGGACTTTAGTCACTAGGTTACCGCGCCAGGCCCTAAGGTTTTATTTTTATTAGAAATGCAGATTTACAGAGATAGGGAAAGACAGCAACACAGAACTCTTCCATCTGCTGGTTCACTCCCCAAACGGCTGTCATGCCGGAGCTGAGCCGACCCCAAGCCAAGAGCATCTTCCAGATCTTCCAGATCGTTGGGCCCCCTCTGCTTCCCATTCAGCTCCCTGCTTGTGGCCTGGGAAAGCAGTCAAGGACGGCCCAAAGCCTTGGGACCCTGCACCTGCATGGGAGACTTGAAGGAAGTTCCTGTCTCCTGGCTTCAGATAGGTGCGGCACTGGCCGTTGCGGTCACTTGGAGAGTGACTCATCGGACGAAAGATCTTCCTCTCTGTCTCTCTTCCTCTCTATATATATCTGACTTTGCAATAAAAATAGATAAAATCTTTAAAGAAAAAAAAAAAGAAAGAAAGAAAGATTTTACAGAGAGAAGGAGAGACACAGACAGAGGTCTTCCATCTGCTGGTTCACTCCCCGAATGGCTGTAGCTCAGCCTATCAAGAATCAGGAGCCAGGAGCTTCTTCCGGGTCTCCCATGTGGGTGCAGGATCCCAAGGCTTTGGGCCATCCTCTGCTGCTTTCCCAGGCCACAAGCAGGGAGCTGGACGGGAAGTGAAGCAGCTGGGACCTCAACTAGTACCCATATGAGATCCCACTGCTTGCAACGTGAGGATTTAGCCTTTGAGTCATCACGCCTGGCCCTGCCTGTTGCCTCTTTGACTCTGTTGAGCACAAGTTTTTACATTTGCTCATTTGTTTGTATTTTTCTTTGGTTGCCTGGGTGTTTTGGTGTCATCTCCCAAAAAAAGCCTTGCCAAGTTCCAAGTCATGGCAACTTCCTGCTGTGTCTTCTTTCAGGAGGCTCATGCTCCGGGGACTTGGGGTTTAGCTCTTTAATCTCTTCTGTTGTAGATGGAGAAGACTGAGTTTGGTCCTTCTGCACGTGTGGATGTGCATTTTCTCCAAGTGCGAGTGTGGCTGAAATGTCCTTTCCCAGTGAGCGGTCTTGGCAAGCTCCTTAAAGGTCACTTAGCCCTGGACAACGCGTTCTTTGTCCTTCTGCCTTGGTCTATCGGCTGCCTTGCCAATTACACACTGTTTTAATTACTGTAGCTTTGAAGCAAGATTTGAAATCGGGAAGTATGATAAGTCCACTGACGTACTTCTTCTTTTTCTTTTTCTAAGATTTATCTTGAAAGATTGGTTCTTATGCTTATTTGAAAAGCAGTTAGAGAGAAGGAAGAAGAGACAGAGAAAGATCTTCCATCCGCTGCTGCTTCACTGCCCAAGTGGCTGCAATGGCCAGAGCTGAGCTGACCCGAGGCCAGGAGCCAGGAACTTCTCCCCAGTTTCCCACGTGGAGTGCAGGATCCCAAGAACTTGGTCTATCCTCCAGGTCTCCCACTTGGGTGCAGGATCCCAAGGCTTTGGGCCGTCCTTGACTGCTTTCCCAGGCCACAAGCAGGGAGCTGGACGGGAAGCAGGGTTGCCAGAGTTAGAACCGGCGCCCATATGCGATCCCATCGCATTCAAGGCGAGGACTTTAGCTGCTAGACCATTGCATCAGGCCCTCAAATCTGCCTTTTTAATAAAAAATAAATCTTTGGAAACACACAGACAGAAAGAGGAAGAAAATAAGAGCTGTTGAGAATGAGGATGAAAGATTAGCACCTCTGGGCTGTGACTGTGGAATGGTAATATAGTGTGGCCAGTATGGAAAACAGGAGGAAAGTTCTCAGACAGTAAAAACAGAGCCACCACGTGATATAACAGTCTCTTTCCAGAAGATCTGAAAACAGGGTCCAAGAGGGCCTCGCCCGCCCACGCCCACCCACGCCCACCGCGGCAGGATGCACAGGAAGCTGAGAGGCGAGAGAAATCCAGCTGCTTGTGTGTGATGTAGCAAACCGACCGACAGGAAAACAATCCAGTCCCGCACAGCAGCATGCAAGTGTCTCGGGTGATGTCACAGTGACATCACAGTGACGTCACACTGCGGCACTGGACCTTGACCTGGTTCCTCAGGTCATCAAAGCCACAGAAGCAGAATGTGGAGTGGCTTGTGAGAGCAGGCACCAGGGAGTTGTCTGACAAGCAGATACAGTGTCAGAGCAGCGAGATCAAAGAGCCCTGGAGGGCCTGGTGCAATAGCGCCTACAGCTAAAATCCTCACCTTGAATGCCCAGGATCCCATATGGGCGCTGGTTCTAATCCTGGCAGCTCCATTTCCCATCCAGCTCCCTGCTTGTGGCCTGGAAAAGCAGTGGAGGACAGCCCAAAGCCCTGGGATCCTGAACCCACATGGGAGACCTGGAAAAGGCTCCTGGCTTCGGATTGGCTCTGCTCCAGCCGTTGCGGCCACTTTAGGAGTGAACCATCTGGCAGAAAATCTTCTCTGTCTCTCTTCCTCTCTGTACATCTGACTTTGCAATAAAAATTAAATAAATCATTAAAAAAGAAAAGTAGCATTAAATCAGTAGCTCTAATCAGGTGAGTCAGTATGATGAAGAGACCACCCCAAGGATGACAATGATAAATAAAGGTAAGTATTGGGATCACCAGGGACCTGACCACGGCAAGGCATTTGGCCTTGCACTTGGAAAGACCACACCAGACCCCTGGCTCCCACTCCTGACCTCACGGGAGGCCTCAGGACTTGGGTTTCCCAAAAAGGGAGGCCTGGATTGTCTTCCTGGCTCTGGGCTTCGGTCCCAGCTAAAGTTGTTTCATGTGTTTGGCGACTGGACCAACAAAGGAAGGATTTCTCTTCCCCTATGGCTCTGCGTTTCAAAGAAAGAAATCTTAGAACAGCAGCAGCCATGCCATTTCAACAAAAGTGACCGCAGAAGGAAGGAATAAGGAAGAAGTGGCAGCAAAGTCAGGTGTATGGATTTCTTTATCTTTTATTTTTATTTGAAAGCCAGAGTTACAAAGAAGAAAGAGAGAGATCTTTCATTCACTGGTTCACTCCCCAAATGGCTGCAAAAGCCAGAGCTGGCTCAATCCAAAGTTGGAAAGGCACCAGCTTCTTCTGGATCTCTCATGGGGTTGCAGGGTACCAAGGGGCTTGGGCCATCCTCCACTGCTTTCCACAGGCCATAAGCACGGAGCGAAATGGGAAGTGAAGAACAGCCAAGACTTGAACCAGTGCCCATGTAGGATGCTGGCACTGCAGGTGGAGGCACAGCTTGCTATGCCACAGTGCCAGCCCCAGGGTGTATGTTTTTAGAGAACAAGGGACTCTGACCACAAGCTCATATACCCTGGAATATACCCTGGAGGGTCAACAGTGGGAAGCAGGGGTGAGCCTAGAGAGGCAGACAGGAGAGCAGAAAGGAATCCTGGATGTGTTCCTGCCTAGAGCCTGTGGATATGCGAGGAGGCAGTGAACTTGGCCTGAACTGGAAAGATGATGCGGTCATTTTACTGAGCTGAGAAACCCCTGGGGAGCAGCCAACCCGGGCACAGAGCAAGAGCTGCAGCCCGGAGGTGCCCTCTGCCAGCCAGCCAAGGAGGAACGCCAGCCAGGAGTCTGCGGACTCAATGAAAGGTCCCAGGAGTCACACCCACCCCCGTGTCTGGGTCAGGTCCCTCAGAGTGGCCGAGGAGGAGGCAGGCCAGGGCTGACTGATGGCAGAGACAGGCAGGGCCAATCTGCAGCAGCTTGGAGCTTTTGATGGCTGCAGTAGCAGGTGCCGCTGCATCCCACGGCAGGGAGCCCAAGGAGCTTCTTGTTTGTCACCAGCTTGTATCCAGCCAAATTTGGTTGGTCCAGTCCTCGTCGCTGGTCGCTGACCCGGAGTGAACGAGCCTTCTCCACGGGCTCTCCATGCCACTAGAAAACTCTGGCCATCAACTCCACCAGGAAAACAGCTTTGAGTAAACCACAGTGGCAGGCGCACCGGGATGACACCTGTAGGGACAGTGTTGCAGTACAGTAACTAAACCAGAGACAATCACCTCCACTTGGGAGTCCTGGCTGCTCCACTTGCCATCTAGCTCCCTACCAGGAAGGCAGCGGAGGATGGCCCAGGTGCTTGAGCCCCTACACCCAACCGGGAGACTTGGAAGAAGCTCCCAGTTCCTGTCTTCAGCCTGGCCCTGGCCCAGCAGTTGGCAGCCAATTTTGGAATAAACCAGGGGATGGAAGATCTCTCTCTGTCTTGGGCCCGGCGCGATGGTGCAGTGGTTAAGGTCCTCGCCTTGAACGCCCAGGATCCCATATGGGCAACGGTTCTAGTCCCAGCAGCCCCGCGCTTCCCATCCAGCTCCCTGCCTGTGGCCTGGGAAAGCAGTTGAGGATGGCCCAGGGCTTTGGGACCCTGCACCCGCGTGGGAGACCCAGAAGAAGCTCCTGGCTTCGGATTGGCTCAGCTCCAGCTGTTGCGGCTGCATGGGGAGTGAATCATCGGACGGAGGATCTTCCTCTCTGTCTCTCCTCTCTGTATATCCGCTTTTCCAATGAGAATAAAATAAATCTTAAAAAAAGGAAAGATCTCTCTCTGTCTTTCTCTACGTTACTTGGCCTTAAAATATATATGATTGATTGATTGATTGATTGATTTTTATTTGAAAGGCAGATTTGCAGAGAGAAGGGATGATAGAAAGATCTTTGGCCTGCTGGTTCAGTCCCCAAGTGTCCACAACGGCTGAGCTGATCTGAAGCCACGAGCCAGGAGCTTTCTCCTGGTCTCCCACATGCATGTAGAGTCCCAAGGCTTTGGGCCATCCTCAACTGCTTTTCCAGGCCATAAGCAGGGAGCTGGATGGAAAGTAGAGCAGCTGGGACTCAAAACAGCACCCAGTGGGATGTTGTTGTACATGCTGGTTACCCCCCTGCCAGGCAGTTCTCTCTTCCTGGAACCCTGATCCACACTCCTTCACCCAAGGACAGTAACTGCTGTCCCCTTCCAACTGTGCCAGTCCTCAGCGGCCTCCCTGGGCCCTGCCCAGTGCCTGGTAAACATGCCAACTGGAAAATGCTCCTGACTTACCCCACCATGCTCCGCTTCTGTTTCCTGCCTGATATGGGTACACAAGGCCACTTCATGAAAACTGAATTCAAAGTTTGCTTTGGTGCCAAAAAAAATGTTGAACTTCACACAGTTTATTTTTTTCATCAGACACAATTTCATGAACTTGTTGAGTTTTTAAAACCTGGATCTTAACTTATTTTTGCACCAAAATAAATATACCTTTGAATTCAAAGTAAATATACCTTTGAATTTTGTTTCCCACCAACTCTTCCAAGCATCATATAAAATAAAAAAACAACAAATGCGGCCACTGCTGTAGCTCATCAGGCTAATTCTTGCCTTGCAGCGCCAGCGACCCATATGGGCATCAGGTCATGTCCTGGCTGCTCCACATGGGATCCAACTCCCTGCTGAAGGAACAGGATAGCTTTAGTCAGGGCCTGGCCTCGTCTTGCCTCTTCACTAGTTCAGCCCGGCTAATTCACAGCTTCCTTCAAGCGGGAGGATGGGCTGTCCCCTGCCGCGGTTTAGCCTTCTAGAAAAGTCGCCTTCTCCCAGGTCTGGTTCATGGACACCGAGAGACCCGCATCACTGCCTTCCTCCCTCCGCCTGGGAAGAGAGGATGAGGATGGGGTCAGCGCAGCTCCCCAGGCAACCTGCAGCAACGTGTCCATCCCCATGGTCTCCTGCATCCTGTCTGTGCCTCTAGCTTCCAGCTGACTCGCAATAAAGGGGACTCCTTTGCGGGGTGGAGGACGCCGTGACCATTTATCTGGGCGTCTCACCCAGAGACCCATCTGGGCTGACGCGTCCAGCACACAGCTGTCGCCAGCCCCGGGGAGGGGAAGGATGAATGGAAGAAGGGACAGGGAGGGCGGGGCGTCACTCTAGGGGCGTGGCCGCGCAGGCTCGCAGCTCCACGGCGGGCTGCAGGGGCGGGGCGGGGCAGCCTCCGGGGAGGCGTGGCCTGTCTGCATCGGCAGGCGTGGCCGCGCAGCCTCGCTGTGCGCGTCCTGCGCCCTGCTGCCTCCAGCCCGGGCGAGGAGGGGCAGAAAGATGAATGGAAGAAAGACAGAGAGGATGGGGCGGGGCCGGCGGCGGGGGGCGGGGCCTTGACCGGGAGGCGTGGCCGCGCAGGCTCGCGTCGCCGCGGCCGGGCGCAGGGGGCGGGGCCTTGCCCGGGAGGCGGAGCCGCGCAGGCCCGTTCCGCCGTCGGCCGGCGCCCCCGCCCGGTGCCGCAGCTCGCAGGCCCCGCCTCGGCCCGCCCCTCCGCGCGCTCCCCGGGCCGCCGCGGCGCCGCCAGCCGGTGTGTCCCAGCCGGTGTCCGAGAGGAGGAGGAGAAGGAGGCGGCGGCTGGCGAGCCCCGAGCCTCTCCGGCCCGGCCCGCGCTCCCCGCCTCCGCCTCCCCGGGCCGGCGGTGGCGGCGGCGGCGGCGGCGGCGGGTGAGCTCGGGGGGCCCGGCCGCCCCCCGCCCCGCAGCCCCGGCCCCGCCGGGCCCCGCCCCCCGCCGAGTGCATGAGGTTGACGCTACTTTGTTGCACCTGGAGGGAAGAACGTATGGGAGAGGAAGGTGCGCAGGGGCGCGGGCGCGGACTCGGGGCGCGGGGAGCGGGGCCGCTGCAGGGGAAGGGGTCGGTGGGGGGGCGTTGTAGGGGCTCCGGGATGCCGCCAGGCCGCGCCCCTGTCTCCAGGGGGATGAGCTCGTCCTGGCGCCGCCCGCAGGCCCCTCCCCGCCGCCGGTCCTCCCGCGGCCCCCGGGGGTGGGCTACCCCGCAGCACGCCCAGGGCCCCCGACTCCTTTTCATGCGCTCCCCTGTCACTCCGGTCCCCCCACCCCTCCGTCTCCCGGCTGCTGGTCACCGCATCCCCCAAAGGAGGTCCACGGGCCGCCGGCCTGGCGTCGGCTTGGACTTCACGCTCTTGTCCACCGAGGGCCTGGCCCTTGATCCAGTCTCTGGCCAAGGGGGCTTAGGAAGAAGAAAGAGCGGCTTGGGTGTGTGTTGGGGTTGGGTAGGGGATGGGGTGGGATGGGGGTTGGGAGCCGCAGTCCTGGGGCCACAGTGGCTGGCTCCTTGCGTGCCTGTCCCGCTCTATGACCTTCAGCTAACTCCCTAGACCTCAGTCTGCCACGAAATGCAGTTAGGGACCGGGTTGTTGGGACCTGGGCCAGGGGCTGCATGGGCAGTGGCCGGTGGGACCCCCCACAACCCTTGCTGTTCTCTGTACTGGGCTCGGAGCCTGCCTCCTGCCACAGCCTTGGCTGGGTCCTTGCCATCCTTTAATCCTTCCCCTTAGGGCTGCACTGCAATTGGGATTCAGACTCATCCCCTTCCCCACCCCCACGCAAACACACACTCAGGCGTCCCTCAGGACAGGGCCTGGGATCTCCTTGCACTGTCACCTGGCGCCCACCTGCTCCCACCCTGGGCCACCGCCAGCCCTCTCCTGGGGGCCAGCAGAGCCCTCACCGTAGCCCCCGCCTGCTTGGGGCCTCCCAGAGGGGCCAGGCTGTGTGACCTGGCCAGGCTTGCCCTCTCTGGAACTCCGTGTCCTCCTGGCTGTACGGTGGAGGGGTGTGGGGGGGCAGCAGGCCAGGGCCCACCAGCTCCAAGGGATGACTAAGCAGGCCTGGTGGCTGGCCTGAGGAGGTGCCTGACAGCGCCTGGCTCTGCTGCTCTGGACAAGCCAGGCATAGGTGAGATTCCCCTAGGAGCAGACCTTGGCTGGAGCAGGCCCTCCTCTGCCAGGCCCCTCTCAGACACTTCTTCCGGAGGGGATTTGGCAAGAGGCTCACTGCCGCCTTTTTTTTTTTTTTTTTTCTGAATCCTACCACCCTCTTGCTTCCCATATACGCTGCCCAACCCTGGGTCGAAGAATGGACCTGCTAGGGCAGAGGTGGGCTTCTGGTACACCTCCCACCCCAGCTGGGTTTTCAGTCAGGGACCCCGAGGCCAGGTGTCCTGTGACCTCCAGCTTGGCCCAACGAGAGAATCCTCAATCCCTCAAGGAGGCAGCGGGGTGGGGGTCCATGCCACCATGTATGTGGGGTCCGCTAGGGGCTTCACAGCAAAGGCGCGCACGTATGCACTCAGAGCCGCTCCTGACTCCACCACTCCACCTGCGCAGGAAGCGAGTTGCCCGTGTGTGCGAGCTGCGGCCAGAGGATCTATGACGGCCAGTACCTCCAGGCCCTGAGTGCTGACTGGCACGCCGATTGCTTCAGGTAAGGGCAGGGCAGATCAGCCGCCTGGGAGCCTGTGTTGCCCGAAGCCAGGCTAGCCAGAGGGAACAGGCTGGGCCTTAGCAGTAGCTATGAAAGTCCCAGACCCTTCCACCCCTCTCCCTACCCCCAGCTCACCAAGTATACCGGCCCTGATTGTAACTTTCACTTGACCTTTCTTCCCCATCTGTAAAATGGACATTTTAACTTGACCACCATTGCAGACCTCAAAGGAGAGGCTGGAGAGACCAGTACAGGATGGCTGGCCTCAAGGCATTGGCTCCATAACCATCCGTGTTCCTTGCATACCAAAATCTGCCCACATTACGTGTGCAGTGACCCATCATCCGCTCCTTCTGATAATGCCCAATATCTAATCACTGTGTAAGCAATTGTTCAGCCTATCGCTTAGATAAGAACTCTGTTAGTACACTGTGCTGGTGGGGTTTTTTTGGTTTGGTTTTTGTTTTGCCATTTCCGGTCTGCTGTTGGTTGGATAGGTTCCTCTGGGGGTCCCCCTGGCCTGCCAGCACCTGGCAGGGGAGCTGTGCCCTTGCCTCTGAGTGCACATGCTCCCAGGAGAAAGGCAAGTGGCTGAGCCACGGTCCCTGGACCCCAGGCAGGCTGTAAGCACATGCAGGCCCCCAGGAAGGAAGATTAAGCCCCAACCTGTAGGTACCCCCCAGGGCAGAGGGTGGGCGGACAGGGTGGTGGCTAGGGACCCAGAGCAGAGCGCCTGCACCTCAGGGGGTATCCTGAGATGCCAGGTGCAGAGGGGAGCTTTGGAACTAGCTGTGGGACCCAGGAGCTAGGGTCTCTAGGGCTGGGAGATTTCCTACGGAAGAAGGACTTCCGGGCAACAGGCTCAACCCAGCAAAGTTCAAGGGGAGTGGGAGGCGGGGCACGAGGAGGCAGTGCCGCGAATGTTCCCCCAACCTCCTCCCCACCAAGCCAGCAGGCTCTCAGCCCTCTGGGTAGCTGGTTAGGCCTGGAATGGTGCCCATCCTGCCAGGCAGAGGAGTGGTACACAGAGAAGTGGAGTCTCTGTGGCAGTCACACAGCCAGTGAGGGAAACACATATACACTAGGATGGGGCGGGGCAGGTGGGCACCCCGGCCTTCCGGCTCCAGTGCCCAGAAGGGAGAGAGGTCATTCCCAGGAGCCCAGGAAGGGTGGCCAGGGACGGATAAGGAAACTGCATGCACGGGGGGAGGTGCCGCCATGCTTTGGGCTGGAGCAGGGAGGAGTTGATGTGGAAGAGTCCCTGAGTGTCAGAATAGGAACCTGCCCAGGAGATACCACCGAGGGCTGTGGGCGGGCATGCTGCTGGCAGGTGCCAGCCCCGGGGAGTAGGGGAGTGGGAGGGGCAGATGGTGTGACTTGGGACCAGCTGTGGCTCAGGGCGCCATGCTCTGTGAAGTTAAGAGCCAGGATGGAGACTGAAGGTACAGATGGTTCCAGATGCAGAAGGGTACGGCGTGGGGCAGAGCAGGGACCAGTAGCATATCAGACGTCAACAGAAGTACTCCCAAAGCTGAACTGTGCGACTGAGAGTGGGAGATGCCACCCCAGCCCCCGAGACAGGTGCCACTTGAGGTACAGGGGCAGGAAGGAGGTGGGAAGGTTAAGGTGGCACTTGGGCTGTGTAAATGACACACAGCCGGGCTTAGCATTGAGACTACAGTCCCCCAAGTCATGTCGTGAGAGGGATACAGATGGCCCCAAATCCAAGAAAATCCAAAATGCTTTGTGGTTTCATGCAACTCTAAGGATTTATTTTAATTATTTGAAAGAGTTAAGGAGACAAGTTTTCCATCCATTGATTGACCCCATAAATGTGCGGAGCTGAGCTGGCCTGAAGCCAGGAGCCAAGAACTTCATCCACGTCTCCCATTTAGATGCAGGGGTGCACGTATACTTGGGACATCTTCTGTTGCTTTTCCCAGGCACATTAGCAGGGAGCTGGATGGGGAGTGGAACAACCAGGACTCACACCGGCATCCTTGTGGGATACAGGTACCACAGGCAGAGACTTAACGTGCTACCCACAGCACCAGGCCCATGAAGTCCCCTTGGAAGGTTAGGGCATTCGCTCTTGTTAGAACTGCCACAGAGGTCAGACACCTGGCTCAAGACTGCAGCAGCCAGAGCCAGGACCCAACCATGCGCATTTCTTACTTTTTTTTTTTTTTTAAGATTTACTTATTTTTATTGGAGAGGCAGGTTTATAGAGAAAAGGAGAAACAAAGAGAAAGATCTTCCATCTGCTGGTTGACTCCTCAAATGGTTGCAACAGCCAGAAGAGCCGATCCAGAGCCAGGAACCAGGAACCTCCTCTGGGTCCCCCACACAGGTGCAGGATCTCAAGGCTTTGCTTTCCCAAGCCACAAGTAGGGAGCTGGATGGGAAGTGGAGCAGCCAGGACACAAACCAGTACCCATATGGGATCGTAGCATATGCAAGAAAAGGCTCATGTTTCTTCTGCAGGCATGGAGTTGGGGGGTAAGGGATGCAGGTTGATGAAGCACAGCTCCAGTCTTACATCTGGCACCCAAAGGAGCTGGTTGGGGTGTGGAGGGACTCAGGATGGCACCAGTGCCTTGCCCAGAAGGCAGGTGAGAGGGCGCCCTCAGCACTGGCCCAGAGAAACTGAGGGAAGGACTTTGAGGGCCCCTGGGCCAGAGCGTGGAGGGAGACAGCTTAGGCTGCGATGTAGCATGGTTGTAGGGAGAAGCATGGCCACAGAAACCCCCTGGAGGGGCAGGAGGTGTGCCACTTCACCTGCCTTGGGAGTGGCTTGCCCCGAGAGGGATGTGGCCTGGCTAGAGGCTGCAGCCTGGTTGGCCACTGAGGTTACGTGCAGAGGGAGGGCCCATGGCAGGAAGAGACACATCTCCTAGATCGCAACTTCTACCACAGTCCTGGCAAAGCTGCGTGAAGCTCGGGACACACCATGACAGCTGCTCCAAGAGAGTGGCCACTGGCTAGAAGAGGCAGCTGGGCTGGCCCCGGAGCCGTGGACTCCGTCTGATTTCCCTCAGGAGGCATGCCAGGGCCATGACATAGGGGCCAGCACCAGGCCCTGGGCCCTGAGGCCCATTAAGGATATTGGGGCCCAGTAACAGGAGCCCCAGCCTATCTACTGGCACCGCCACACCCCTGCCTGCCTCCCAGCTGCCTCCTGTGTGCTGTGCCCTGTTAGGATTCACGGGAACAATCGGGTTGCACCTGCTGAGCACCAAGCAATCCCATTCCCGTCCCACAAGGACCTGCGAGTGAGTAAGGAGCAGAATTGGAACACAGAAGCGCTGGCCTTCCAGCAGCCCCGGCCCAGGCAGCAAGGAGATACCGGCCAAGGACTACAGAGCGCCTTGAGTGCAGAGGAGGGGAGCATGGGCAAGGCCCCATGATGAAAGCGTGCTTGGCATGGCTGGGCAGGACTCAGAGCGCAGGGGCTGCCCCCAGGACCAGGTGTACCAGGAGAACCTGCTGGGCCTGCGGCAAGCCAGCCTGGACCCTGGGCTGGGGCACAGCGTGTCCTCTCACAGGGACCTGGTGGGAAGACGGACAAACTATCCCTGGGAAGTCAGCTCTGCTCCCTTAGGGACTGCGGAGGAAGAGGCAGCTGCTGTTGAACTCGTCCTTGTCCCCAGAGAGGCCCCAGCGTGCCATGCCTTTGCCAGAGGGCAAAGCACATAGAGGGACCTATCCTGATGATGCCAGGACTGGCTGAGAGCCTTGATCCCTCCCCCTCCCCATGAGTAAGTACTAAAACTCCGCAGAAGGCTTCAGCTGCTTCCTGTTGTAGCCTCAGACCATGTCCTGCTGCACCCCGGGGTGCTGGGTCCTCCTCCCCAGTGGTGTGGCCACACTGGCCCCACCCTCCTCAGCCTCCAATCCTGAGCCCCTTGCACAGCAGGACAGGGAAGCACTGCTCAGGACACCCTGCTCTGCTGCCAGGCTCCTCGAAGGATGCTGCCGGCTTGCACCCTGAGGAGAAGGCCCGGTCTCCGGAGGCCTAAGTAAGTGGACAGCCTCAAGCCTCCCCGACCCCACCCATTGCAGGCTCCAGGCCAGGAGCCCCCCCTGGTGAGGGCCAGGCCCCCAGGCCCTGTGAGGCTGAACCACCTAGGCCCTGGCTGGCTGCGGTGAGACAGAACTGAAACTAGATGCTCGGTGTGGGCCAGCAGGCTGCAGGGGGAGCTCCCCCTGCGGGTTCCCCAGCAGGTCGGCCTTGCAGCTCGTGGCTGCTTCCTCCAAGGCCAAGGCTGGAGGGGAGCATGGGCACTGTGTCCCAACACTGCTGTCTGTCTCCTCCTCACCTGGCTGACCACCCCATGTTCCTGGAGAGGTCTCTGTAAGGGGAAGCAGGGGAGTAACTTTAGGCAGTCCAGGACCTGGCCACACCCCTCTTGGCTTCCTTGGTGAATGAAGATAGGTGCCCCCACCTGCTGCCCATGGCTCCTGGCCGGGCAGCAGGAAGGCTCCTGGATGTCCCCTCATCAGCAGAGGCCCCCTGCCCACACCCCTGAGCCCCTGATGCTGCTGCTGAAGGGTGGGAGGGAGGAGCAGCTGCTGCTGATCCTAGGCAGGAGCCACACTGAGCGGCTCTCCCAAGCCGTGCTTTGTGACTGCCCGCCGGGGCACGGGGCAGCCACAGGCTGGCAGGGCAAGCCAGGACCCCCGACGCATGAGAGCCTCTGGTGAGTCATGGCCAGCAGGTCATGGCAGGGCAGCGAGGGTGATGAATGTTCAGCAAGAGGAGGAGTTGTTTCCGGGCAGCAGGCCGGCAAGCGGAGAGCATCCTCCGCTGGGAGGGAGGCAGCTGTTCCCAAGGGGCCCCAGCCTGGGACCCTCCCGTGGCCACATACAGTGTGGAGGTCGTGTGGGTGGGAAGTTGGATGTGGAGGGGAACCACTCTCCCCGCCCCCTCCCTCCGGTGTGCAGGGGCTGTGGGGGAGGGACCTCCCTGCCTCGGCTGCTCCCCCCCACCCACAGAGGCTCACTCCCTGCTCTGGGCTGTGGCCCTGACATCATAGCCCTATGGGGTGAGGGAGTCCCCGCCCCTGCAGGCCCCCTCACCCATGCACATCCTCAGAGGTGGGGGCAGCTTCACAGGAGCACCCACAGCCTCACCCACAGACTTCTGAACCTGACACTGGGGGCTTTCCCAACCCCCTTCAGCTGCAGCAGCCGCATCCCCACCCCCTTAGGCTCCCAGACAATGAGGAACTGACTGGATCCTCTTAAAGGGACAGTGTCCCACCCACTGTCTGGCTGCTACCCTTTACCCTAGCCCTGCCCCCCTACCCTGAGTTCCAGAAGATTACCTGCCCCCAGGCAGTGAGCTTGCCGCTGTGGGTGAGGGGTGGGCTCATGGTTCCCCTCCCTCCGTCTTTGCTGCCCGCAGATTGAGGGTCCACCTGACACCCTGGGTCTGGCCTGACTCCCTGGCCTGCTGTCTACACGACTGTGCTGGAGTCCAGATGCACTGTGCCCCTGCTGGTGCAGTTATTGTGCATGGGGAGGGGTGTCTTGCTGTTTGACCTCCATCTGGATGCTTGCAAGAGAAGCTGCAAGCTGGCAGGTGCAGCTCCAGCTCCCATATGCCACCTAGAGGCCAAGAGAGGTCACTTCTCCCCACCAGCCCTTCCAGAACAGGATGTCCCAGCTGGAACTCCTGGCTAGTTCAGACTGAGTGGAATTCTCACCTATGTGTCCAGGGACCTGGGAGTCTTTTGGTGGGGCTGAGCTCCTCTGTGCACGCGCTTTAGGCGGTGTGGAACCAACACTTCAGCACCTGCTTCATCTCTAAAAGCACACCAGCCAACACACTGCTGGCTTTGCAGTGCCGTCTCCCGCTGCGTCCACGTTAGTTGGCCCCGGCTGCCCCTCTTGCTGGGTGGGAGGGGGGAGACTAAAAGATCAGAAGAGAGGAGGGCCTGCTGTTTGCTGTTCCTTTCCCACTGTGCAGAAGCGGTGCACATGGTTGTACATGGAGAGTGAGAAGGGCTTTGGACTCTCCCTTCACCTACCACATCCAGCACCCCAGCTTCCACCCAGTGGGCACACCTTGTCCTGGCCCAGGTGGCAAGACTGGCGTCAGCCACACCTGCCCCTCCCCCTGCCCCCCAGGTGCTGTGACTGCAGCGCCTCCCTTTCGCACCAGTACTATGAGAAGGATGGGCAGCTGTTCTGCAAGAAGGACTACTGGGCCCGCTACGGCGAGTCCTGCCATGGGTGCTCGGAGCACATCACCAAGGGGCTGGTCATGGTAAGCGCCCTCCCTGCTGCCCACTGCTGCCCCCCCACACGCACACACCAGTGAGCATGTGCAGGCTTAGCTGTCCCACCCACCTCTCCCCGTCCCACCCACCTCTCCCCGTCCCACCCACCTCTCCCCGTCCCACCCACCTCTCCCCGTCCCACCCTTGCCCACTCAGCCCTCCTAATGCTGTTGGAGCCCAGCCAGCCAAACAACCAGCCACATCCCCACAGTGCAGGGGATGTGCAGGGGAAGCCTAAGGAGGGGTTGGAGGGTGCTAAGGGGCTGCTGAGCCAGGGGTGCGACCACCCCATCCAGGTCGCCGGTGAGCTGAAGTACCACCCGGAGTGCTTCCTGTGTCGCACATGTGGGACCTTCATTGGCGACGGGGACACCTACACGCTGGTGGAGCACTCCAAGCTGTACTGGTGAGTGCCCCGCATCCCCCACCTGGCAGGGCATGGCTGTCCTGCCACCCCGAGAGCCTCCTCCTTCTCCCCCATCCCATAGGAATGATGGGGAAAGAGGATTACTGCCACCCACCAGAGTAGACGTGGACTCCCTGCAAGCACACACACTTAAGGCTGGTCCCCAGCAAGGCCATCCTGGCTGCAGACACCTGCCAACGAGTTCAGGGTTCCCTTGCCACTGGTGCTCATGGGTCCCTGACCTGGCCAGGCCTTACCAAGAAGTTGCGCTTAGGATCACAGTTTCCTGCTAACAGAGGCAGAGGCAGCTCGGGGCGTCGTGTTTGGAAGACACGCCCCGACCTACCCCCACAGCCTTTGGAACACAGTTTTTATCAGGGTTCTTCTGTCATATAGTCCCTCACGCATGACTCACTGGCCTTGGGGACCACCCCCAGTGCTAGGTGGGAGGTGGGGCTGACTGGCAGCCCAGGCCCTAGGCTCACTGCGCTGGCCTGGTGGCGGCCGCCCCCACTTGAGTCATCATATCTCTGCCTGAATCATCTCGTTGGCAAACACTCAGCCAGCAGCGGGGGTGGGGGTGTGCTGAGCCCCTCCCAGAGGCTACACATCCCCTGCCCTCCGGCCCTAGAAGCTTGGGCAGCCTGGCTGCATCTGTAGTGCAATGCCACTCCTCCCCAGGCTAGACTTGGCCCCAGCCAGGCCTGATCACAGTTTCTCACCTAGATTAACCCAGAAGCACTGACCCCATGGAGGGGCGAGGACTGCTGGGCACAGCTCACTTCCTGTTGCTCCCGGTCCCTCCACTTGAGAGAAGTTGGTGGGGGATGGGGGATGGAAGGGGTGGCTGGGGGGTGGGGGAGACTTAACGCACCCTCTTCCTCTCCCCCGCAGCGGGCACTGCTACTACCAGACTGTGGTGACCCCTGTCATTGAGCAGATCCTGCCCGACTCCCCCGGCTCCCACTTGCCCCACACCGTCACCCTCGTGTCCATCCCAGCCTCAACACATGGCAAACGTGGCCTCTCGGTATCCATCGACCCCCCTGTCGGCCCAACGGGCTGTGGCACAGAGCATTCCCACACCGTCCGTGTCCAGGGGTGAGTGACTGGCAGGGGCAGCCACTGGGGGTGGCTGGGAAACAAATGTCCCGCACTTGAGACCCCAAGAATACCTGGTGTTTGGATGCAACCAGAGGCCCCCTCTGACAGCTGGTATACCAGGACCCTGGTGTAGATGTGCCCAGTACAGAAAACCCTTACTTATACATGTTAGACAAAACACAAAAACAGCTGCCTCAGTCAACACGTGGTCCGACAGAGGGAGAGTATGCTTGGGACTGCTCCTGAGGACAAAGCTGGGTCAGTTAATGCTGAGCTTTCCTTCCAAACTTTGCATGGCCCAGGGAGAAGAGGGCAGCTCAAGGAAGCCAAGAAGGAGCCATGTCCTTTACCCAGAAAGCTCAGACCCAGAGGGACCTCAGGGCAAGGGTCAGTGAGAGACAAACCCCTCTCTGGCTAAGTAAGCTGGTGTGAGCCTGAATTCAAAATGGGGGGTTGGTCCCCAGAGACTTTGTCAGCCTGGGTTTTCAGGCCACATGGGTACATACTACAGTGCTTCAAAAAATACCTAGGCAAACTCAGAAATGTCGACTGAGGATCCTGGTGGCAGCATCCCCAGGCCCTGAGGGGTTCACATACAGTGCCTCGCCCCAGGGAGCACACCCCTGGGCTGAGGGACCACTGTATGGATGAGAGCCCCCGGGAAGCTGAGCAGTTCCTCATCAGGAGGCATGGATGAGAGGACAGATGCCTGGAGCTGGTGCCCAAAGGAGCAGCAGGCAAAGGGCAGAGCTGGCCCTGCCAAGCACCCAGATGTTGGGAGCTGCAAACAACAGAAGACAAGGATGCCCAGTCTGTTTGAAAATGGGGAGAGATGCCTTGAATAAAGCAGGGGAAGAACCAACAGGCAGTCTGTAAAGGGACTGGAAGCAAAACGCAGTGGCAAAAATCCTTGCCACAAGAGAGCAGGGCTTATGGGAGATAAGGAAACGGAAGCTGTGAGAGAGAGGTTCCAACAGGTGGAGGGCAGGGTGAGGGGAGCTGAGCATCAGGCACTTGGCATCCCAGGAGCACTCACAGGGCCTGGGTGAGGAGAGGCCAGCGGGCTGACGGCGGCCAGTCCACAGACCCCAAACAGAAACACGTCCATCCATGGCCTTGCCAGACACTGTATTGCACAGGAAGCAAGAGAAAAGTCCTTAAAAGAACCAGGGGGAAAGAAACTGTTCTCAGTGACTGACACGAGAGTGGCAAGTGATTGAGTGATTGCTTAACACAAACTGGGAGCCAGGAGCCAGTGAGATGCTCATTCATTCATTCATTCCCTTCCTCCCTTCCTTCCATTTGAAAAGTAGAGTTACAGAGACAAAGGGCAATTCAGATCTTCCATTTGCTGGTTCACTCCTCAAGTGGGCTTATAGCTGGGCCAGACCAAAGCTGGGAGCCTGGGGACTCTATCCCAGTCTCCCACATGAGGGCAGGGTCCAAGCACTTGGGCCATCCTCCGCTGCTTCCCCAGGTGCGTTAGCAGGGAACTAGATTAGGAAATCTGCCTGTAGCTCCTGCATCCCGTTTGGGCCCCAGTTCAAGTCCTTGCTGCTCCATTTCCAGTCCAGCCGGGAAAGCAGGGGAAGATGACCCAAGTCCTTGGGTCCCTGCCCCCACATGGGAGACCTGGAAGAAGATGCTGGCTTTGGCTTGACTCAACTCCATCATGAACCAGTGGATGCGAGATCTCTGTGTCTGTCTTTCTGTCTTCTTCTGTCTCTATAAATCTGTCTTTCAAATAAAAACAAAATAAATCATTAAAGAAAAAGGAAAAAGTAGTAGAGCAGTCGGGGACTCCAAGCTGCAGTGCCGCTGTAGGATTCTGGTGCTGCTAGCAGCCCACGCCACAGGAGGGCCATCCTGCGAGCTGGTGTGACGTCACCTGCCACAGTACGTCACAGACTCCACCTGCAGCCGTGGCTCTGGGCAGGCTGCTAGCCGCCACCTGCCAGCACAGCAAGACTGGGCACCATGGCCTCATCTCGGGACACTCATCTGCCTAGAACGCAGCAGGCAGTGTCTGTCCTCCATGGTGGACGTGACCTTCTTTTGGGAGCAGCTGATTGCCTGGCACAAGGTGGCAAATGTCTGCAGGTGAGCCAGCTGCCTCCCATTCCCGCCCGTAGCAGACATCAGTCATCAATTGCTGAGTTCCTCCCACCAGACCTGGAGAATTGCCGCCTGAACACCCATCTGATCTACCCGGTCATGTCATTCATCTGGGGATCCAGGCGGGTGTGCATCTGACTGCTGCTCTTCCTGCAGAGTGGACCCAGGCTGCATGAGCCCCGATGTGAAGAATTCCATCCACGTTGGAGACCGGATCTTGGAGATCAATGGCACACCCATCCGGAATGTGCCCCTGGATGAGGTAGGGGTCCCTGTGGCCAGGATAGGGACCAGGTTAGAGGTGGTCACCCCTTCCCTCACTCCAATACCTTGAAGGATTTATCCATCCCCAACCCCACTCTCCCCAGATTGACCTGTTGATCCAGGAGACCAGCCGCCTACTACAGCTGACCCTCGAGCACGACCCTCACGACTCGCTGGGCCATGGGCTGGGGCCCGAGCCCAGTCCCCTGAGCTCACCGGCCACGCACACTCCTAGCAGCAGTGGGGCAGGCAGTGCCTCCCGCCAGAAACCAGTCCTGTGAGTGAAGCTGCGTACCTACTGCCCACTCTCCATTGGAGGGTCCCCCAACCCCACCCCCTCCTCTAGCACTAGGTGCTCCATGTCTTCCCCCAGGAGGAGCTGCAGCATCGACAGGTCTCCAGGGGCCAGCTCGCTGGGCTCCCCCGCCTCCCAGCACAGGGACCTGGGCCGCTCCGAGTCCCTGCGTGTGGCCTGCCGGCCGCACCGCATCTTCCGCCCGTCAGACCTCATCCATGGGGAGGTGCTGGGCAAGGGCTGCTTCGGCCAGGCCATCAAGGTACGGGGTGGGTGGCCGGACTGGGTGCATTCCTCGGGCCTCCCTCAAGTCCTGGTAGGCTCTGCAGGAATCTGGCAGGAGGCTGGATAGGAAAACATCTGGACTCCCTGTTTGTCCTTCTCTGCTGTGGCCTCCTTGAACTCATCAGGGGAGGACGGGACCTGCTGGGCAGGAGGCTGGCCCATGGTCTGAGCCTGCTAGTGTCTGCGTGGTTATTCCCTTCCTGCGCACCTTCCTCAGCTCTGACGTCACCTGCCTGGGACCAGGCGGCAAGGATCAGAGTTAAGACGGAAGGTGCAGGCTAGCTTGCCCAAGTGTCCACACAGCTTCCTATCCCTGGTCCTCTGGGGGAGCTGCTGTGTGAACACAAAGAGAACCGGCCCTGGGCCAGGCTGGCATGAACCCAAGTCCCTGCAGTCCCCTTCCCTGCCGACGGGGTGACCCTGGACTGTGTCAGGAAACTGCTGGAGTCTCAGAGTCCTCCTTCTGGGGCTGTCAGGAAAGCCTGGTCCTGGGGTAGGATCGGGGGCTCCCCAGAGTCTCTGCCTCGAGGTACACGCCCCTGTGTCCCCCTCACAGGTGACGCACCGTGAGACAGGCGAGGTGATGGTGATGAAGGAGTTGATCCGCTTCGACGAGGAGACCCAGAGGACGTTCCTCAAGGAGGTAGGTGGCACCTGCTTCCTAGGAAGACCCCCCACATACACCCTGCTACCAGGGCCCCATTGTGAGCAGGTGCACAGGGCCTGAAGGAAGAGAAAGTGTCTGCTGGGCGGGCCCTGGGGTGGGAACAGCCCAGCCGGGAGTGGGGAGCGGGGAGGACTGGCCGTGGCCCCTGCTGGGATACATTAGGGAGAAGGAGACACAGGCTGGGCATTGGGCGCTTTCCGGGGCCCAGCCTGGGTGTCCTCCATCAGGTCAAAGTCATGCGGTGCTTGGAGCACCCCAACGTGCTCAAGTTCATCGGGGTGCTCTACAAGGACAAGAGGCTCAACTTCATCACCGAGTACATCAAGGGCGGCACCCTGCGGGGCATCATCAAGAGCATGGTGAGGGTCCTGGGCAGAGTCCCTCTGCAGAGGGCTCGGAGCCCCCAATGCTGAGTCACTGGGAGGAGCTGGTCACTCCATGTGGAACCAGGGAGAAGCCGGTGAAGGTGGCAGCCATTCTGGGTTACCCAGAGCCAGTTACACCTGCTGCTCCGGCTGCCCCTGCCAGGGGTCCAACACTGGAAGAGGGAAGCACCTTGCACTTAAAACCCTAGAACACCTTTGTCTTCGTTACAAAACAAAAGCAGTTTCACTGTTTAACATGGAGCCATAAAATGCATCACTTTGAGGGTCTGGCTGAAAATGCAAGTCTGACCTCAGGGAAAAAAAAAAAAAAAACACATCAGTGGGAGGGCCTGCCCACCAGCTCTGCTGCTTACAGGGCAGAGCCCCCATGGCTCCAGACCTCCCTTCCAGCCCTGACAAGTCACCTTGGGACCTTCCTGCAGCCTCCAGTCACACTTGAGGGGTGTAACTTCTCAGAGGGGGACTGTGGTCAGAGTATAGACCAGTTTGGAAATTCTGGACCTCTCCACATCAGGTTCCCTGTGAACCCAGCCCTGTCTGCTGAGGGCTTCAAGTGGGAAGACGACCAGAGAATGAGGCCTGGCGCCCGGAGCCCCATTCTCCTGCAGGAGGGACTGGTGCTGGCCCACTGCAGGTGGCTTCCCGGCGCCTCCTCCCTCGGCCTGCCTATGGCCATGAAACTGAAAGAGGTTTCTAGAAGCCAAGTAATAATCCGTGGCTCTGGATTCAACCAACTGTGGATCAAAAACCAAATTGGGGGCAGGGGAAGATGCTGTTTATCCTAAACACTGTAGGCTTTTTTTCCTCCCTCATCCTTGTCCCCTAGACAGATCCTGTTGACCACTCACATGACCTTGACCTAGGCTTTGTCTAGGGAGGATCCAAGACCTCAGGAGGGTGTGCATAGGTTATGTACTGTGCTCTAACAAGTGAAGGACTGCCACACTGCCCCGAGGCAGGCTGGCAACTCTGACGGAACATTGAATCCCCTTGAAGGGGCACATAGGGGACCTGTTGGAAAGGGTGCCTTGAGCAGTTCACACACCCCTAGAAGCCAATGGCAGCAGGGGCACAATGGACCCTATGGGACACTGTCTCTCACACTGCTACCAGCCTCACCGGGCTCATTCTGGCCATTGTCTCTGATCCCTCCTTCCCACCACAGGACAGTCAGTACCCGTGGACTCAGAGGGTCAGCTTTGCTAAAGACATTGCGTCGGGGATGGTGAGTGAACTGGCCCCCTAGCCCACTCTCAGACACCCTGAGCCGCCTCTAGGGCAGGTGCGGGCCTAGTTAGCTCAGGGTACTGGCATCCTGGGTCGGAGCCTCCTGGTTTTGACTGCTGCCGCTGGTGTACCTGTGCAGCTGGGCAGACTACTGGGGACAGGGGCCTGCAGGAAGTAGGGTGCATGAGTGTGACTGGGATGGGGTCAGCGTGGACCCTGGGAGGCAGCAGGTAGTGGTCTAAGTGGTTGCACCTCTGCCACCGACGTGGCAAACCAGGATGCCATTCCCAGCATCAGCAGAAGAGTTTGGAGGAGCGAACCAGCGGGTGGTGAGGTTGGGGGAATCTCCATTGTCTCTGCCTCTGACGAAATGTTTTTTAAAAAAGAGAAAAAGAAAAACATAGGCCACAAGGCAGCTGTGGAGAAGGCTGGGGCTGGCGGGATATGGGGGATTCCTCCGTGCAGTGACCCCTGACTCCTGCAACTCTTCTTTGTCTCCCCATCCCAAGGCCTACCTCCACTCCATGAACATCATCCACCGGGACCTCAACTCCCACAATTGCCTGGTGCGAGAGGTGAGCAGTGGTCGCCCTGGGGCAAGACTGTACCCCACCTGCCACCTGGGACTACCCCTGAGGCAACAGAGCGCAGGATGCCCCCAGCTGTGCTGGACACATCCCTCCAGGAGCCTCATCCTGCATGTCACTGCCCCCCAGCAGCTCAAGATCTCCCACCCTGCCCCATAGGACACCTTCTCTTAACTCCCACCCCAGCTAAGGCTCCCCTTCTGCCACACCCAGGTCCTCATCCTCCTGATGCCCACCAAACAGCAGCGAAACCTGGGGCTAAAAGTGAGGTGCCCAGGGTCCTCCCCAACCCACCTTGGCTCTGACGTCCAGGTCCCTGACCCCTTCCCACCCCCACCCTGTATGGGTGTCAGCAGTGAGAGGTCAGGGGCAGGCTGCACAGGCAGTGCCTGTTAGGGACCACGGCTCAGTTGCTCACATCTGCTTCCCTGCTTCTTCCTGCACCCCAGAACAAGAATGTGGTGGTGGCTGACTTCGGGCTGGCACGGCTCATGGTGGACGAGAAGACACAGGCCGAAGATCTGCGCAGCCTCAAGAAGCCAGACCGCAGGAAGCGCTACACTGTGGTGGGCAACCCCTACTGGATGGCACCTGAGATGATCAATGGTGAGACCCCTGGCCCCACCCACTGGGATGCCCCCCACCTCCACCCCGCCCCACCCTCAGCCCCAGCTCCCCCTGGATACAGCTGCCGCCTCTCTGGGCAGCCTTGACGCCAGTGGCCATTGCCTGGGGATGCCATATGCTCTGGGTGACTTCAGTCCCAAATGACTCTCAGAATCACAAGTCCAGCTTCAAGCCCAGTAGCCAAACCACACTCGTCCCAGCCCTGTCTCAACCCCTTTGGGCCTGTGACTGCCCCTTGCCCTGACTTTGTTGCCCTCCCAGAGACACCTGTGATGGTCCTACCACCCCACCCCACCTCCAGGCCCCGACAGCCCAGGCTGCCCACATCTGAGGGCCCTTAGCTGTATGTCATCTGCGAAGACCCCTTGGCCTGGAGAGTCACAGGCACAGGTTCCTGGGACTTGACTTAGCAGTGTTAGGGACCAGAGGGGGATTCCATGTCCTCTCCTAGGCACCTGCAGAAGCTGACAGCCAAACTGAACTTGAAGTTCCCACAGCTCCCTACCCAGGGCCACACACTACCGTGCACCTCTGGCTGTCACTTAGACCTGGTCTGGGCTGGGGGCAGGCAGGCCACCCCGGCTCCCGGACCAGGCCATCCTTGAGCTAACTGGGTTCTCAGCCTGCCCCTCATCATGGTCGTCCCTGGCCCACCACCCCTGCCGACACTCGGTCCCTCTGTCCAGGTCGCAGCTATGATGAGAAGGTGGACGTGTTTTCCTTTGGGATCGTCCTGTGTGAGGTAGGTCCCAAGGTGGGCAACAGAGATCCCAGGAAAAGGCCTGGCACCTGCTCTTCTCCAGGCCTCCCTTACCCACCACTTTGAGGACTCCCGGTCCCTCCACCCTCACCCCCACATCTACAGTCCAGCTGGGCAGACTGCTGTGGACAGGGGCCTGCAGCAAGTAGGGTGTATGGGTGTGACTGGGTTGGGGCCAACGTGAGAGCCTCCTGGTCCAAAAGCCACGCACAGTAACCACCAGGTCTGGCCATGTGCAGATCATCGGGCGTGTGAATGCCGACCCTGACTACCTGCCCCGCACCATGGACTTTGGCCTCAACGTGCGAGGCTTCCTGGACCGCTACTGCCCCCCAAACTGCCCCCCGAGCTTCTTCCCCATCACCGTGCGCTGCTGTGACCTGGATCCTGAGAAGAGGTAAGAGAGCAGGGCAGGGTCCAGTTGGGGGAGTGTTGAACCCCAGCCTGGGGCAGCCTCCAGGGTGGTACCTGTCCCAACTCACCCCATCCCCAAAAGAGCCAGTCCCAATAGCCACTCTCCGTCACCCCAGGCCCTCCTTCACAAAGCTGGAGCAGTGGCTGGAAACCCTGCGCATGCACTTGGCCGGCCACCTGCCCCTGGGCCCGCAGCTGGAGCAGCTGGACAGGGGATTCTGGGAGACCTACCGGCGTGGCGAGAGTGGACTGCCAGCCCACCCTGAGGTCCCTGACTGACCTGGCCTACCACCACCAGGCCAGGCCCTGCCTTGCCTCTCCTGCCTGCCAACGCCGCCGCACACCCCATAGCCCTCCTCCTTCTGCCTTACCTCTGTCTGGCAGGGGCTGCCCTCCAGTGTCCCTGCATGAGCTGGGGGAGGGGAGCCTCAGTGTGAGTCCATGCCCTTCCCACATGCCAGCCCCTGTACTGGCTGCCCTGCTCGCTGCTGTGCCATGACGCCAGGCTGGGAGGCAGCCGCAGGTGCATGCCCAGCCCAGCCCAGCCTGGGAGGGTGCCGTGTGTCAAGGGAGAGACCACGGTGGCTCTTGGAAGTAACAGGTACTGACCAGTGTCCACGCCTCCCCCACCCCAGCAGGGAAGGGCCTCGGGCATGAATTACCCACCCCATCCCACCCCAATTGTGCCATGCACCAGGCAGCAACCCCTTCTCCCGCTTTGGGCCATTTTCATTTCTTGATCAAAGCCACTTTAGTGGGAAGCAGGTACCAGGCCTCGGGGTGAAGTGGAGTTTGGTTAAGGGAGAGGGGACCATAGGGGCCTGGGCCCAGGAAGCTGGGCAGAGCCAAGGGGATGGGGCTTGTCCACCAGCAGCCCCGCCCCACTGAGGTTCATCTCAGCGGCCCCGCCCCCTCTCTTCACCTCCCCCTCTTCCTCTGGGTTCTTTCTGTGTAATCTATTTTTTAAGAAGAGTTTGTATTATTTTTTCATACGGCTGCAGCAGCAGCTGCTGGGGGCGGGAGGGCACTTAGGGGGTTTATTTTTTTTTTTCTGGCGGGTGGGGGTGGGAGGGCCATTTTGTCACTTTGCCTCAGTTGAGCATCTCAGAAGTATTAAAACTGTGAAGCCTTCTCATTGCACTTTGAACCTGGAGAATATTCCGGAAGGGCCCCGGGGGACTCTGATCACTCCCCCTCACCCCCTCTCAAGCCAGGCATGGTGATGTCCAAGAATAAAACCCAGACTCGGAACAATAAAATCAATTCTGTGCTCCCCATGTGGGTCCTGTCTGGCCATGCATGGGGACAGGGACCCTGCCCGCACAGGAAAGGAATTGAATTGTTTTCTTTGTTTCCTGAGATCTTTGATTTTTATTTGAAAGGCAGATAGACACAGAAGATCTTTCATCTGCTGGTTTGCATTGCACATGACTGCCATGACTGGGCCAGGCCAAAGCCAGGAGCTCTGTCCATGTGGGTGACAGGGGACCACGCCTCGGCCATCTGATGCCTGCCCCAGGTGCATTAGCAGGGAGCTGCAGCAGAAGCAGAGCAGCCAGGACTCAAACCAGCGCCCACACGAGTGTCACAGACAGTGGTATAACTGGCTGCACCATGACACCAGCCACCCCAAGCTCTTTAGTTAGGAGAGACAGAGTTTCCAGCCACTGTTCTACAACCCCTCTAAGGCTCACAGCGGCCAAACCTGGTCAGACCAGATCCATGAGTCTGGAGTTTTCCTCTCATTTTCCCACATGGGTGACAGCAGCCTGCAGACTCAGGCCGTGGTCCCCGCTTCCTCCCAGGGTGCCTGTTCCCCAACAGCCGGACTGGCCAGGGCCAGAAGCAGGTGCTCTGAAGTAAGACACGGGCATCCTAAGCAGTTGCCTGAGCCGCCGTGCTGAGCTCCGCACCCCTGGAGAAGGATAGGAAGAGTGAAGGGACACACGGTGGTGTCATGGGCAGCAGACATGGTGGCCCAGCCAGGGCAAGGGGCAGTCTGGCAGGCAGGGTGGGTGTCCATCCCAGGGGATGTAGGTAGGGCCTTCATTCTTGCTGCGTTCATCCTCCCATGGAAAGGTCCTACTGCCTTGCGCTTGGATGCCCAGGTGCCCAGATAGGGAACTGCAGGGAGCGGGTGGCACCTCACAGGCTGGGACATTTGAAGAAAGGATGTTGCTGATGTTGGGTGACGAGTCATCCTTGAACTTGGTGGCTACTCCCATTCTGGTCAGTGGGAGTAGCTGGGATTATAGGAGGCAGGGGTCTGGAATCTCCCTAAAGGTTGCTAAGATACAGACTGAGGCCGCTGCTGTTTATAGCAGGTCTGATGGGAGCTGGAGGATCCATTTAGGGGATGTTTATATGGGCCTCGGTTCATCCCCTTGCTCAGGATGGGAATCACGGGACCCTTAAGCATCTTCGTTACCACCCTCAGGAGCAAGCAGCCCCGAGTGCAGGTGCCACTGCTCTTGATGACCCAGGCTTGGAGGGCACCTCAGCTCTGGGGACCACACACCTGAGAACAACCAGGACCTCACTGGAAGGATCCCTCTGCCTGTCTACTGCCAGGGACCAGTGCTGGGCTTGTGGGTGCATGTTAAGGGAAGAGCTGGGCTCTGGGAGCAGGTGCTGGCGTGGTCTTCCTGCTGCTGTCCACTAGCCCCGCAGAGCAGGGAGAAGCAGGACATCCCTCCTCTCCCACCTTTCCATTCCCCCATCGCTGGCAGAGAAGAATGCGAAATGGAATATGGCGATGGTGACACACAACCCACTGTAGCTTTCCCCACACACACACACCACACTGCACACCCTGCCATGACCATGCTTGAGCCACGGCCAGGTGCTACTCAGCATTAACCTTTATAAAAGACAAGGATCTTGTATGCACAGATGTGTCATTCCTAGAAAAGGAGCTAGCCCAGGACCACCACCCTCATCCATGTGGCTCACTGAGATCCACTCCAAACACGGTACCCCTGCAGGCCATGTAGAGCCCTCTTGAGCATCCTCAGGACTGTCCTATCAAATAAGGGGACTCAGGAGAGGGTAAGGGTTAGATGGTTAGGAGCCTGTTGACTGGAGGAGCAGAGACGGGCAGGACCTCTTTCTAGATCATTCTGTGAATGCCCACTGCTGCCAGAAGCCAAGAACACAATGCAGGTCACCACACGATTGGCAGGGCAGGGTCGACGACTTGAGCTGCCCCTTCCTCCTTCCTAGGGTGGCATCAGGGGCAGTGGCTGGGACTCCCTACCCAGGCACCCCGCTGTGAGACGCAGGCATCCTAAGCACTTGGCCAACCGTCCAGTCCCACTGCATTGCCTTAGGGTTGGGAAGGTGACCACACTACCCCACACGTATTGATGGATTGAATGGGGAATGGATGCAGTCCCTACCAAAACCACACTGGCTACAGGATGGTCTCAGAAGCTCTGAGGTTGGTATCGTTCGAATGGCACAAAACAAAAATGTTCCTGAACAGGAAAAAATAAAAAAGATAATGCAGACCATCCCCCAGATGGGACACCAAACCGGAAAAATCCCACAGGTCAGACTGACAGGAGGGAAGAGAAAGTCTGGGGGCAGAGCCCTGGAAACAGAGCTCAAAAGGCAGTTTTCACACACGCAAATGCCAGCCAAGGATATTTTATATATATATATATATATATATTTTTTTTTTTTTTTTCTGTCCGCCGGTTCACTACCCAAGTACATGCAACAGCCAGCATTGAGCTGATCCAAAGCCAGGAGCTTCTTCTGGATTTCCCACATGGGTGCAGGGGCCCAAGGCTTCGGACCACCCTCAGTTGCTCTTCCAGGCCACAAATAGGGAGCTGGAAGGGAAGTGGAGTCGTCGGGTTATGCACCGGCTAAGCGCATGCAAGGCGAGGACTTTAGCCATTAGGCTACCATACCTGGCCGAGTTTTTTTCCTTCTTTCTTACCTTCCTTTCCTTCTTTTTTTTTTTTTTTAAGATTTACTTATTTTTATTGAAAAGACAGATCAGGTTTTACAGAGACAAGAAGCGACGGAAAGATCTTCTATCTGCTGGTTCATTCCCCAAGTGGCCTCAGTGAACAGAGCTGAGCCAATTTGAAGCCAGGAGCCAGGAGCTTCTTACAGGCCTCCTGTGCGGGCACAGAGTCCCAAGGCCTTGGACTGTCTTCTACTGCTTTCTCAGGCCACAAGCAGGGAGCTGGAAGGGAAGTGGAGCAGCCAGGACACGAACCAGTGTCCATACAGGGTGTTGGCACTGGAAGGAGGAAGATTAGGCAATTGAGCCATTGTATTGGGCCCGCGGACTGGTTATAAATATTCAAACAAGTAGCCTTCAAAATTGGGAAGGGCCCAGCATGGTAGCCCAGCAGCTAAAGTCCGTGCCAGGATCCCATATGGGTACCGGTTCTAATCCTGGCGGACCCACTTATCCAGCTCCCTGCTTGTGGCCTGGGAAAGCAGTCGAGGATGGCTCAAAGCCGTGGAACCCTGCAGCCGTGTGGGAGACCCAGAAGATGCTCTAGGTTCCTGGCTTCGGATTGGCTCAGCTCCGAATATTACAGCCACTTGGGAGTGAATCATCAGACAGAAGATCTTCCTCTCTATCTCCTCTCTGTATATCTGACTTTCCAATAAAAATAAAAGTTTTTTAATAATTAAAGATTTATTGTTTTAAGACTTGATTTTCATTTGAAAGGTAGAGGGAAGCAAACTTCCATCCACCATTTTTACCCTCAAGTGGCCACAATGGCTAGAGCTAGGTCAGTCCAAAGCCAGGAGCCAGAGCTTCCTCTGGGTCTCCCACATGGTTGCAGGGGCCCAAGGTCTTGAGCCATCCTCTGCTGCTTTCCCAGGCCATTAGCAGGGAGCTGGACTGCAAATGGGGCAGCCAGAACTCAAGCTGGTGCCCGTTTGGGATGCTGGCACCACAGGCGCAGGCCTAACATGCTACACCACAGCAATCACTCCAAGATGTATGTATCTGGTTTTCTTTTTCTTTTTTTCTTTTCTATTTATTCTAAAGGCAGAATTAGAAAGGCGAAGAAACAGAATGAATCTTGCATCTGCTGGTTCTCTTCCCCCAAATGGACAAGGCCAGGGCTGGACAAGGCCAAAGTCAAGTACATGGAGCTTTGCCTGGATCTCTGTCTGGGGCACAAGAGCCAAGAGCTGCGTTGGCAGTGGAGTACCCACGTTGTGATGTCATTGTGCCAGGCGGCAGCTTGCCCTGCTGTGCACATCACAGTGCCTGCCCCATCAATATTATTAAAATATTTACTTGAAAGAGAGACCTTCCATCTGCTGGTTTACTCTCCAAATGTCTAAACAGCCAGGGATGAATAAGGCCGAAGCCAGGAGCCAGGAACTCCATCCTGGTCTCCACATAGATGGTTAGAACCCAAACAGCTTCATTCACTGCACCACACCCATCCCACAAACACTGTGCTAATTGCCGAGGATGATTTGAAACAAAATTCATTGATTGCTTTGCTTTTAAGATGGTGCCCAGCCTGTAGACATCAGAAATAAACATTTTCCCATGAGTGAAAACCTCTGCGGTGCGGTCGCTGCTTCCTGCAGATTAATTTTCTTTTCCTGACTGTGGCATTATAGTATTAAAAGCGTTTAGTACCAGGGATCCATGCTGGGCAGCGTTCCGCAGGAGGCATTTCTAAATCAAATATGCTCAAGTTTCCTTTGAAAATACTGTTTTGTGAACATAATTAGTTCAACGTGAAACTATAGCCCAAAAATAGAACCTTATTTGCCTTAACAATTATAGAAGTGTGACTGGGTCCCAGCACAATGGCTTAGTAGGCTAATCCTCCACCTCCAAGCACAAGCATTGCATATGAGTGCCGGTTCGTGTCCTGGCTATTCTACTTCCCATCCAGCTCTGTGCTTGTGACCCGGAAAAGCAGAAGAGGATGGCCCAAAGCCTTGGGACCCTGTAGCTGCATGGGAGACCTGGAAGAGGCTCTTGGCTCCTGGCTTTAGATCAGCTCAGCTCCTGCCATTGTGATCATTTGGGAAGTAAACCAGTGGACAGATCTTTTGCTCCGTCTCTCCTTTTATCTGGAAATCTGCCTTTCTGTAAGTCTGCAACAGTCATAACAGAGCTGATCCGAAGCTAGGAGCCCGGAACCTCTTCCAAGTCACCCCTGAAGGTCCAGGGACCCAAGACTTTGGACCATCCTCTACTGCTTTCCCAGGCCACAAGCAGGGACCTGGAAGTGGGACAACGAGGACATGAACTGATGCCCATATGGGATCCCGG